AAATTGTATCTTAGGTATAATATTCTTAGGGATGTTAGATGTTCGCCCATCCAGGCCAGTTTGACCACTTCAATATGACGTGTTGTCACTTATCTTTTGTCATAGATTGGAATTGTTAGTCAGTGAATGATGCTGACATAATTTAAGATGATGCCTAGAATATTGTAATTATAACCCGGATTCCCTTCTGTCAGTGACGCTGAGCGAGTGGGCTGAGGTGTAAAAATGTTGCGATGTAATACCAAAATCCCTAGAACAGTTCACAACACGATTCTCCATAGCTTAAATATAACTGATGTAAGAAACATTTTAGAGCTTTATGATCTTTATATAACAAACAATATATCTTTGCTACACTCCCCCCACCCATCACTTTAATCGTGTTACTGTCGCTACTTTGACAAAAGTTTTATTTCTTTAAAATAGCACGAGACAGTGTAACATGCAAATATTCATATTTCGGTATTTTGATGTTCTCGATATCAATAAAATCTCGAGTGTAAATCAACGATTGCTCCTCCCTAAAAGGAGAAAGCTCTTGAACAAATGCGTCGATTCCCAGCCAATCCAAAACTTTTTCTTAAAGACTCTGCACGATTTCAAGATTGTAGTAATAAAAGACACTTGTATCGATCACATTTGTGATTGTATTTATAATTGAAACGTCAGTAGAGGCGACAGTCTACTCGTTGAAATGTCTGTTATGACACACTCTAAGATCTCCAATGCTTTGAATATGTATTGATAAGGGACGGATTAACAGATGTATTTGATTAACCCAGCAGGACACTGGTAAATACTAATTTTTATCATTATTTAATATCCTTTACTTCAGTTACTTTTTTCTGTATAAAAATGTTTATGTGCGTTCAGAAAACTTTTTCAAACTTTGGTATGTTTAAAGCGAGTTAAATGCACAGAACTGAGTTTAATGAATTTGACATTCTCTCGACAAAAAGAATGGAAACTTTTATTTTAGTGTGGTACAATAACGCTTTCGCTAGTGGCTTTATGACTAAATAGCTTTACTCTTGTACTATAACGTGTTCGCTAGTGACTAAATGACTAAACAGGTTCACTTTTGTACCATAACGTCTTCGTTAGTGACTAAATAGATTCACTTTTGCACCATAACGTCTTCGTTATTCACTTTTTTGCCATATCGTGTTCGCTAGTAACTAAATAGATTCACTTTTGTACCGTCTTCGTCAGTGACTAAATAGATTGACTTTTGCACCATAACGTGTTATATAGTTAGCTTCTAAATGACTCAAAAGCTTAACTTTTATAATGCTAGAGTGGCGTAACAATAGTAGGGAAATATATTCTTCTGTCTAAGTATTGTCTTATATTCTTTAGACGGGTCCTATTGTATATTTTTTTTAACTTTTTGTCTACTACTATTTTTGTCTTATTTGAACGTTTAGTACGCCCATGCTAATCCTTCAGCAAAATAAAACCTCTTTTATGTTAGATTTATGACTCAATACATATAATAAACATGCTCAGCCGGAGCACTTGTTGTGTTTGTCCGTGTCTGTCAATTCGGCAGCCATATTTCGAGGAAAAAAGACGTAATTTGTATTGATGGAGCCTAATTAAAACTAGTATATTATAGTAATTAACTACGAAGAAGAATTATGTAGAAGATTTTCTCTCACATAATATGTATCTTATGAACATTTTTGGCATGTGTTTGAAATCTTGGCCAGTAAGACCACATCGTTCGTATGATTTTGATATTTAGTAAAGACTGGTAGTAGAGCTAATTTTTATTAATTTAATTTTTTTTATAGAAACATTCAGTTATAATGGTCTGGAGATATTTATGTATGTGTTTAGGATATTAAGAATATAAGATTTGAGAAATAGGCCTGTAAGGGTGGTTTTAATAGTCTGCATTTCACCCAGGTAAAATCGACGGCAAATATTTTTGATGAAATTAGTGATACTATCATACAAAAATTACTAAATTTGAATTGTAATGACAAAAAGTTCTCTGTACAAATCAATTCATCCAAAAAAATGACATTTATCTCGGGTGTAAACATCTTTTGCCGAGTTTAATCTGTTATGAGTACAACGCCGTAACTCTCCCCTTGAAGTTTATAACTCAAAGAAACGCACTGCTGAAGGTACGACGGTCATGCTTTGTTACACGTCACAGTGAAGGTTGAATGGACTAGAATATAATTGCAGAATTTGCTTTGAAAATGTTCATTTGAAGTTTGTTTTTTGTCTTTTTAGATGTCTTCCATCATTCAATAATGGCCGAATAGAATCGTGTATAGGAATTTTAAAGTTCCTTTTTTGAGATACTAGTGTATTATTGTACGCACGGTGACTGAAATAGATATAGTCGCTATAATCGTTAAACGGACAGTATCCACACGGCAGATAGAGCTCAATTTCAGCTAGCGTTTGCCGAGTTGACAACAGCAATGTTGTTAACATCGTCATCGGCAAAACCTTCACGTTAAGTATACTTTACTCGTCATATTCTTAAAAGACTCTATCCAATTGCTTTTCAAAGATCCAGTTCATATTAACTTGTAACTTGCATAAAGAATAGATGTATTTGAGCAATTTTAAACTGATGTTATTTTTTGTTACAAATATAACAATCTAATTTTGTACCATGACATGCAATGACTTGAATATTAGTTATAGGTTAAGAGTACTCTATGGTTTCCTAATGCAATTTACAGTCTTGACGTTATTAACGCTTTGAGATCCAATGTTACCGATTTTTTATCCTTTGGCATACAGTAGAACAGGATTATCGGTAAATCTGCCTTATAAAGGAACTAGCTCAGTCAGAAAAACAATTAATCTGACTATAATGCATTCAGACTTAAATGCTGACTTTCGTGTTTTTCTGTGGTTTGCTGAAGAATTTCATTTTCATATCGTGGTCAATCGAATTGCAAACCACAAGTAGACTATACAGTTTAACAGAGGATTCCACTTAGTCAGCAGAAGCATTTGATTTATTAATTAATAGTTTGACCCTGAACGCTGTGCCTCTATTCTGGAACAATGCAGCTGGGATCAGGATTTGATTATGGAAGGGGCTCTCCCATGGTTATAAGAGTCATAATTATGATAATTGTACTTGTATTTGTAAGAAAGTGCTAACTAGGCATTTGTTTAAACTGTAATTTTTAAGATAATTAATGTAATTTGAAAGCACCCTAAAACAAAACAGATAATAGATTTTTACAGATTTAGAATTGATTTTATAGGAAATCAACATTTGTACATATTCCTTCCATAAAAAGGGGCGTATCTTCCTGTCCTCTTCGTGATCAATAAGTATACCACATAAACACTATTAGCATTGTCGAAACTCTAAGGGTATGACTATAACTACCCGAACGATGAGTGATGTCACAGCGGTAAAGAGCGGTTCAACAAACTGATATGAAATCTATACAGATATTGCTACACATTTCGTCAGAGATTCCTTTGCAATTGCCAGTACAAATTATAGGAAATCGCTATAGTAATCATAAAAATGGATATTGTTATGTAAAATTCCATCGAAGATTATGTGAAATTTCTAATGATCTGATGCGCAATGGACACCAATAAAATTCTGTGTATTTACAAATAAATTCTAATGCATGTCCCTGTCTTAGCCAAATATCGTTACACGTATCAAATTATCTTCTGAACGTGATGGAGGCTAAATTTTGATTTTGATGAAATTTGATGTCATGTAATTGGATACAATGTATCGTATATACAGTATATTCTGAAAATTCATATGGATAAAAGAGTGCAATATGTGTGCAAAGGAATTAAAAATCTAAATCTAATTGCTGTTAATTAAAGTGCTGTTCAAATCTACACAATAGATTGATATTTTCCAAGAGAAATTTATTTTAATTTTTCTGTCCCATGGTATTCAATTACTGGTAAACTAAAAGACAAATGTGGGGCTATGATCCACGGTTGGATTGTGTATACCAAGGGAGATTATGCTTTTACGTCGCTAGCAGCATTGTAATTAAGTGATATTGTACCTTTAGGAATATAGCAGGTCACTGAATAGAATATAATTCACTAAAATATCTCATTTCTATTTTCAGATAATCGAGACAAACTCCCCAAAGATAAAATGTAGTGATATATAGTGCCAATAACGTCATAGCAACTTAAAATCCCATAGGACAAGTAATGGTTTGTTTGTCGTGACATGTCATTGTTGTAAAACGATAAATAAAAGTCTTAAGTGAGTACAATTGTGATGAAATAAATTAGCAAGTTTTTGGGCGACACATTTAGTTCCCACCGGAAAATAAGACTGATCTATACATAAGTTATTGCGAGGAATAAAGCTCTCAAGTGATCAGAGAACATCATTTATTTTAAAATAGAACTTCATACTTACAAGATTATTAAATAATTGGAAAAGTAAAGAGGTTTTGCGACGTGTTACGTGTGTTCCCATCGCAGTAATAAAATTTAGTATACACTTCTTTTCTATTACTAACGAAATTGAAAGTCGCACTATGATATACAATAAACGCCGTATATTTAACACATAGAGAGACACAAAACGTCATTGGCTCTATTCAGGAAACATTATTTATTTAATGTCATAATAAACTTGAACAACAGTTTATCAAATTATTACAACAATCTGTTATACAAACCAAAATGTTTCTCTTGTAGGGTTCCATGATTTTTGAGAAACTAACTTGATTTACTCGATGCCTGAAGAGGTATAACAATCCAAATATTGTGATTTCGTTTGAAAATTTGAACATTTACATTTCCGTGCACCTCAATTTGTTAAGATTCAGAAACCAGGTTTTGAGATTGTGTTAATATTGCATAAACTTGAAATCAACAGTGATAAAGTGCTGTAATTTGATGCTGATTGTTCTGGAAGGAACCATCAAACACGTGGGTTACTAGATATCACTGTGAATTCATGATCTGCCAGTAGAAGCAGTTAGCACAAACTTTGTGGGTAACTTATGTCTATAACAATGGCTACTAGCAAACTGTCTGTGATTGAAGAAAGAACATTACAAGCCAGGGCTCTAGCTAACGAAATTTGTAAACAGGAAGTGCTTTTAAAGCCACCACCTCAAGATGGTAAGTATAGTACAGCTTTAACTTTTAAGTTTCAGATATCGAATTGTTCCACATGCCTTACCAGTTATTGATTACGATTATTTTCTTTCACTGAATGTTTGGTCCTATTTTTAAGAATTATATAATTTATATCAGAGACCAGATGAAGGTTTGAGACTAGTTAGATGCTATATAAAGAATGAGGCTTGATAAAGCTTTAAGTAATCTGGTTGATGAACTTTGTTAATATGCTTAATGCTTTTAGTACATATTGATGTCCACTTTGACAGTAAAAACTTGTTATATTAATTTTAGTAGAAGATTAATAAAAATACAATATCCGCTGGCTATAATATATAATGTATCTGTATCTGTAAGTGTGATAATCCACCGTACTCAGTAGGCCTACTGAGTAAACCAGAATAAGTGTTTCAAATGATGTACGATGAAGTTATATGACCGCATTAAAGGCTAGACAATCTTGTAAAACCTTTCGAATGCCGGGACCAGGACGTCCTACCTTAATGAAATGAATCTAGACTTCAACCAAATTGAATTACGAAGAGAGTTAACGACTGTCATTAGTGGTAGAAACTCGTCACTTCATTTAAATTGGATCGTCGAGTGTTTGTTACGTGCACAGTCTACGGGCTACGGTGTTTCATCCCATCCAATGTAACGGTAAGAGGGATGCATGTAACCCTTAGGCTATTATTGGTTAAGAATTAATTTCTCACTAACGAGTTACTATCTACAGCATTAAAACCATATCCAATCAAGAACAGACATGCCTAAGCAGTTGATCAAAGTATTACTATAATAACGTCTCCATCGACATATTAATTTAGAATGACCAAAGCCTCTAGCTATTTTCACTATCCATAATGTTTATACGACGTTAATGAAAATATATTAAAGCCACAGTATGCTTGGTTTTGTGTTTTCAAAAATCATGTAAACAATATGTTCTTTAATCGAATATGGTGTTGACAGAAGCACTCATTTAGAAGTCTTGCTGATGTTTACAGAAATGTATTTCCTTGGAAATGAAATAAAGTGGAGTTTTACATCGTATTGCCCCGTTTCTTATTTGTCTAATATCATGTTGGACTTTAGTAGTGTGAAAGGTAAAATGAGATTTGTTCTGATGATCGTATTTTTCATGTTACAAGTAATATTTCAACATTTATATTTTAAAAGGACAGTATCTTCCTTGCTCATTTGGTTAAATAGTTTCAAAAAAGACAAATTTTTTAAAACATTCACCATATCATTTGATATCTTTCTTTTCACGATTCTATATGTGTCACACTTTTAAAACTTCTACATTCGACATACTTAAAGCCTAATTACTCATTATAAGAGACATTAATTAGTAGATTATAAAGCTGAGAAAAAGTTCAGATACTTATATAATGGGTTTTTGTATAATAACTATTTGCGTAACTTGATTGGCTCTCTGGGATTCTTTTAATTACCATTAAGAAAAATATCTGTTCGCAGCTTAATTGGTACACTGACGGTTGTCATTACATCACAACCAAAGAAAACAGATGTGTTCAACTGATAACTTGGTTCACGTTGTCACACACACTTTCCTGTCTTGTGTGTTCGAGAACACTTGGTGTATTTTCTATGAATGCAGCTCATTTAGTTAGTGCTTAATACCATTAACACCATTATGTCATTTTGTCACCTGTAAAATCAGTGTTGGTTTTTAGTTCAAGTATAAATGCGAATGAATAACATTGAATAAGTTACTTTTCTATGTTTTCAGGCCGACCCAGTTTTGCATGAGTACGACTATTATAAAAGACCCCATAGTCATTAGATGGACAATATCCATGAATCTTTCGTTATATTTTTATGGATGTTAATTTCTGTGTTTTCATCTTCTTCGAAATATTTTGGAGTATTCCCTCTGTTCTATAAGAATTGTTACACCCACAGTCAAAATTTAATCTGGTGATGCTTTGATGTCATATTGACCAACGTAATTAGCACCAATAGACATATTGGATATGTTGAAGATAAGTTATGAAAAATGCCAATTGGCCTGTAGGGAAATAATTATTAGTTTTGGTTGATGCTCTTTAAAGGTAATGGTTTAATTATGTGATGAGTATTGCTAGTACTACCAGACAGGGATAACTTAATGCCACCCTGCAATTATCGTTGCCAACTGAACTCGCATTAAAATAACCAAAGAATATGACTTCAACGTGTGTTGGTAATTATTCTCAAACGTCACACAGCAAAGGCGTTGTGTAACATAGATTCAGCTTAAAGGAAAATGTCGAATGGAAATGGCTTAATAGATCCCCTTTCTTAAGATAAAATCGACTGACGAAAGCTCTATATAAGTAGATGTAACTTTACTACTATAAGGAAATCTATAGCTGATCTAAAGATTTGAATGTAGAAAAGAGATTAACCTGTTAACTTCAAACTACTCTAGAAACTTAATCATCTCATATCGATCACTTACATCAATAGAATTTAATGAGACAAGTTCAGTGGTATGCACTAGTAATTTGTCACGTGTAAATTCTGCATTGTTCAGCATAACACATTTGTGTTTCTAAAAACATTTTAGGGCATTCCGTTGCTGATCACAATTACGTGCGTGTGTTTTCTGTGGGTTACTGTGATATCAAGAGTATCCTAGTTTTTACATGTATTGGTCTCCAATCTGATTATCATTAATAGTGATTCCAGACTTCTTTCCGGTTACCTATCGCTAAACTTTATACGCTGGTAATTGGCACCTTCTGCATTTGATAACTTTCTGTACAGCGATGTTCCCAATACATTGATCAGATCAGTTTTCGTCGGAAACAGCTTTTTCTAACATCAAGTGTGTTAAATGTTTATCTTCAAAGTAGGCCTACACGCTCGTCAGACTTATACCATTATACAGTTACTGTCGTCAAACTAAAGCTGAACAATTAGTGATCGACACTGATCGTATAGTGACAATACACAGAGTATGAAATGCTTATCAAAATTGATACCCATTGACCCACACCATTACATTATTTTATATCAGTAAATACGCAATGTAAAAAATAATCAAGCCTATTTTATAATCTATATTCAGACAAGAACGTGGTGAAATATATATAACTGTATAATATGACTGTAACATCTGGCTAATAGACGTACCCCACTTTATATATAAGTTGCCAATTACCTCTGCTTCAATCTATCAAATGGCCCAATAAAAATATTTGTTCTGAGTGACTTTGTCCATACACGTTCAAGAAAACCATCAATATATTGAGTCAATATTATTGAACGTGTGTGCCCTATGAAAAATATTGTCAATAACCATCATTGAGTCAACACCAGTTTGATTTTAATTGACAATTCATCGATATAATGATGGAACGTCAATTTATTGAATCGCATTATTGTCCGTGTGTGGAGAATCCGTCAATATATTGCGTCAATATTTTCAGCATATTAAGATGTATTTTAAATTTACTGAAACTCATCAAATCTTATACAAGAGCTCAATTCGCAAAATTTACCCTTTCTGTTATGATTAAGTTTGATTTTTACCGTATTTGCACGATTGTTTTCTTTTTACTGAAAGAACGAAAATAGTGCATTCCACTTATATAAGTGCGGAAATAGCAGCTAAGATGAGAATTTATATCGAAATGTCCCCAGTATTAGGGAGTACTCCTAATTCGTCAAGAAGAAACTCACTATTATTTAAGCAACTGTATAATTTTTTTTCATTATCATCATCATCATCAGTCGACGTATGCGACGTGGGAATAGGATTTGAATAGATTTATAACATTCAACAACAATGAAAACTTGTGGACTCTCAAGTGGCACAATGCATCAAACAGATACACAATTATAAGACCAATACCCCACAACATCAATAAGAATTAGTGCTGTTACAGATACTAACAGAAAGGAACATGGATTTCTCAGTTGTCCAAACAAATAAAAGAAAACATTTAAAGAAAACACATCTTTTCTAATCCTTTTCTTATAATGTCCAGATGGAAAGATATGGCACATCAAGACCATTCTAAGTAACCTTTTACTTTCATCCTTTTCTTATTGTTTTCACATTGGATTTAACACTAGATCTAAAGACGGTCGTAATATCAACCAGCTTTTATTAAATATTTTGTATGTATCTTAGCAGGAAACAGAACAGTGTAATTGGGTAATACAGTGGTCAATTTGAATCACAGATTTCTTACAACAGATGGAGAAAAATACTTGACATGGGTTTGATATTAATTGCAACCTTTTGGCCATGTTATGGCCCTATAAGCCGGCAAAAATTACAACTATCAGATTGAACAACAAAATATCTCATATACCTGTGGTACATTATGAGTCAAATCTATCACACGTGGGGCATACTGCTTTGGAATACAGTAGCACTGATTGCCAAGCCTTTCTAATTATCAAGAAATTGAACAAAGAACTCTCACGAAACTCTTCTGATATATTTCAAAAAGATTTAGTTATTGTCTATTATTAGACGTAATAAGAATTTGAATGACATTTTAGTTGACGGTAGACTAAAACCCATAACTAATGATACTTTTACTATGAATATATGTTTTTTTTTCTTTCACAGACTAATGGATGCTCCTTTCGATTTAATCGATTTTTGAAAATATTTTTCCCAATGTTTTAAGTTTATGGGATGTGGGTTACGGATATAGAAAACAACCGTTAGATGAATTTTTACCTCAATCTGTTCTTCGTAATATTATTTAGACATTGTTGTAACAACCACTCTCACCTAAACATAGACTAGAACCTAAAACCTTCAGATAAAATTTATTTCCGTTGAAATATCAACAAGTCATTTAGTCCACTACTATACGATTATTGCTCAGATTTTTAGTTAATGGAATTATTTCGCTTGAACTAATTTTTATACATTATAAGGAAAATTCGTCGCCAAATTTTTTCTACCTGGAAAGGGCTTGAAATTTCGTTTGTGAAGCTGACATACCTTTGAACATATCAGATGGCAAATAATGGTGTCTGCAGTCTGAAAGAAATGCATCTAACTGGGTTATTATGGAGAAAGATGGAAATGTAAAAATTGCACTTTTTATGAAAAAGTACAAAAAATGCTTATGGTATTGTGTTGTTTCTATTTCCAAAACAGGAAAAGATAAAACAGAAACTCTCGTGTGTTTCTGATAGACAACTTATACTACATGTATTGTTCATAAGTTATTCAACATAAGTTGTCAGTACACCAAAAGATCCTAAAATGTGATTGCAATCCTTATTTTAACCCATCTCGTTCATATGTTCCACGCTTGCTTTTTTTTCATGTATGCCAACCTGTTCTTGTTGCATCCAAATCATCCTGTATCACCTTCCTGGTCATCTTTATATTCATAAAGCTTTTATTTCATCCGTGTCATTCAGTTTTATCCTCTTGTTTCATTGATACCTGCTTTTACAAAGCTATCTCTTCATCCTTCTCTTTCTGTTTCATCTGTATCTTCCTTATCAAACGTCAACGATCATTGTAACAATAATTAGGAAGATCAACTTGATGGACAGGAATGAAGGTTGATTTCGACTTGTTTCTAATTAAATCTGTAATCAAAGTACCGACCAATTAACCAATCATGTTAAGTAGGTTCAAATCATAGACTTTGCTGCGATGCCTGTTATACTCAGTACCGATTGATTTTTTTGTTTGTTTTTTTTTTGATTTTTTTTATATATATATATATATCTCCTTTGACTCAAGGAGAGGATATAGGTTGGATGCTCTTTTCTATAAGAAGGAACTGCTACAAGGATATGCAATAAATACCAGAATATATGATTTCGACACTGTAAGGATAGGTAGCCCACATCACCTGGATGTTCTGTTTCCAATTTACTTCTTAGTCTTATTTAATTACCAATATCTATGAAATCAACTGATTTTAATGCATTTAATCATTTTCCTCTTTGAATTATTGTATAATTTCTGCTGATTTATTTCGTCTATTCTTACAGAGTAAAGAAATGTTTTAAACTCTTTAATCCATATAAAAAGAGTAACAGACCGTTAATAAAGGAATAAAACAGATACATCACTCATATATTGCTCTGTAGAAACCTTCACTCTTAACCATAAACACATCGTGAGCTTTGATTGCTTCCCCTTTCATGCTGGTCCTATCATTTAAACACAGTAAAATTAATTAGGAGGTTTCATGCGAATCTATTCAAAGAAAGAATTCTGAAGGAATCGGTTGGAATTACAGGCTTCAGTTCATCTTCTGATTACAGATAATGGAATAAGGAGGCGGAAAGTAAGTCAGATGTATAATATGACGAGCGTTATTCACCAGTCTTTACAAATTCGCTGGTTGGATAATCTGTACTTAACTTTATGAATGATCATTTCATTAAACTTTGCCTTTGTTATTGCGACCTTGTTTGTCATAAATATTACGGCATTCTAAAAATTTCTTTATGTTGATTAGGCTAGCATTATTATCACGATTTTCAAACTTAGTGTGAATGGCTTTGTTGTAACGAATTAATAGTTGGCAGTTTGAAAAAGTTGGTTCGGCTTTGTTTATAACCTTTTCTTGGGTTATGGTGACATGTTAACTATGTTTTATTGGATTTCCAAGCAATGTTATCATAGTCCAAATGGATCGCTTTCGGCTTTACTTTATGCATAATGATTGTTGTTCATTTTCCATTGAGACAAAATACGTGATAATCATCATGCCACTTTACTTGATCATTTACTGCATTTGTGAGTGGATCGGTCGTGACTTCTTAATTGTACATTGTTAAGTTGCATCTTTCATGAAAGTACAGTCACAGTGGAAAGCTCGTAGCTAGCATATATCTTACAAGCGTTCCATGACCTTTACCAGTACGTCTGATGCAGTACTTGTAATCTAGCATAATAAAAAAAAAAGTCGTGTGCTCATATTTTATGAGAGGTTTATTTCAATATGTTCCACAAAACTATATTTGTAGCTGACAGTGTTTCCATTCTCAGACAATAAACGTCCATTGTGTAAATCGTAAAACGTAGTTAATTTTATTTCTCTATATTTTAACAATTTTATTTGTGAAACATTTTACACCATATTCTCGTACAAAACGATTTATTTAACAATACTGATTTAAGATTTTGTTTCGTTTTTTTTTTATTACGTGACGTATGTAAACTGATAGAAAAACCACGAAACGGAATACTTCCAAGGTACTTGTCTAATGGTTATTAAAATGTTAGACGTAATTTAAGGAAATGGAAACATCGTATTCTATTGTAGTGACGGGGTGTTGAAAAGAGTTTTATTTACCAATCAGGAACAAAACATCCCTCTTCAATTTTGGATATTTTTGCTCTTGACAAAGGTTATTTTCCCTGAAAGATGGGTTCCCTTATTTTTATTTATGAAAATGAAAATGTTAAAACTTATATGAATAGAAAGTAGAGGTGTTCTAATGACTTGGAAAAATGCCAATCTGTCTCACATGTCCATAATTAATTCATAAGAGCAATACCAGCAGAATTCCAATGAGTGACCTATCAAAAAGTCTTTTTGCGGTTATCCAGACTGTACATACATGGATATTTATTAAATGCAATAAGAACATAATGATATGATAAAGAATACACGATAATTCATTAGAAACACTAATTAATCAAATAGTTTACTTAATTTGACACTAAAAAATAAGGAAACCCATCTTTAAGGCTTTTCACTAAATATGATTGGTTATATTTTCAGGGAGACAGTATTGTCGAGCTCTATTTGATGGTTGGGGATGTTGGAATTACACTCTAGCTGGTGATAGAGCCTTTATACCTTGTCCACAGCATATATTTTACCGTACTGATGGTAAGTGAGCAATAACACAGGACATTCAATTTATAAAACAATGTATAATACTATGTTATATCGCATACCATAACATTCGCGTTTATCCCTCTTCCCATTATTTACGATTCTAATTAGCATTTTGGATCGTCGGGTTTCTATCAGTGGGACTAAGCTTTAAAGAAACAGCTATTTAGATGAAATTGTGGGGTTATGTTTCTTGTACTGAAACTTATTTTCTATTTTGTAGAAAATGGGGCTTAACTTAAATTCGACCTATAATACGATTTTTAAAAAATCCGACTTACTATCTTGAGAATCCGGCTGACTTTCATAAAAACTCAACTCGACAATCTAGTCTGGCATAACGATAATGTCAAGTCGAATTAAGTGCCGTAAACTTCCATAATATTGTACAACAGTACTTATATATATATGTATGTATATAGTTCGCCTTAGAATGTCATATAGTCTATAAAACTGAAACTTTTGGTGCTTTAACATTAAGCTAAATAATCACACATCCCTTATTACAGACATTAACCGTCTTTTATCAACTCAAAATGATTCAAAGGTATTTATTACTAGTTCTTATTTGATATTCAATACTGAAGAACGACAGACGTGATTTAAAAAAGACCGGATCCAATTGATCACACCTATGTTGCGTTTTCCGGTATTTCGCATTATTTCAGGATTTGCCCATAAGGACTGTGATGAAAATGGAACATGGCGGGTGTACCAAGAACGAAATAACCGACACTGGTCCAATTATACAGTTTGTTCTAAATGGACAGCCGAACAGGTAACTATCAAAATAATCAATAACTATGGGTATGGATTCGGCTAATAAGACAATCAAACACATTGTGAAAACACACTCATCACAAGATGGTAATACATGCGATATACATATATTCTTCTATAATGTTATAGCTCCAATTGTAAAGTTATTTGTAATAAAATACAATTAAACAACATTTTATTATACTTCTCGTCCTTGTTTTGTGACATCTGAGTAGTAGTTGTTGTTGTAGGAATCCTGCTATGGAATAAACATGTTGTTTGGTCAACAATTCCTTTGAATCTGTAACCCAGTCAGAACATCTTAATCTTAATGGAAACATTGTTAACATAAAGATGCCCATGATATCTATTATCGGCATTCCATTATAGTCACATCAGACCTCTTCTGTCCACAGTTCTTCAATAACTCCAACCATACCTTATATCAATATGACCCTTTAAACGCTGAAAAATTTATCTGATATCATTATTTTAGGAAAAAATGTGGATCCACTGTCAGATGTGACATAATAACTGGATTTTTAAACAACGACTGCGTTCAATAAACACCAAGCTTAGAGGGACATTATGGGGGTTGATTTGAGTCTTGAATATATGTAAATAATACAAGAAAATCGCATAATTCTTTCAAAATATCTCAAACTGGGAATTTCTTTTCCCATTTCTATAGATGTCTTTTCTATGTCTCAAGAAAAAACTACTCGTCTTTTTAACTTTCAACACGGACACAAGTAGATTTGAAGGCTCAAATTTGGACGGTTACTGATTACTGCCATTCCCGTTTCTGAGAATAAGGAATGATTGGCAAATAATGGAGAAGATATCCCTTTAAAGCAATGCGTAATAATCGTGACATATATAACCCGTAGCAAATGTGTGTTCATGACAGCTCTTTATGATGCTCTCGATGTTATAACATCCGACCAACGGTGTCTAATTTTAGACGGCGTATGATACAATGATGTGGATCTGAAAAGTATCTGTAGCCAAAGGGTTAAAACTATGTTCTTGAAGGTTGTATTATTTTTCTCGAAAGACTTAATTTGTTTGAAATACAGAATTAAGTTAGTGTAAATTAACGCTATAAAGACTGGTATTAACCTCTTAATTTCTGAATGTCAACGCCTGATCGATTCGTCGTCATCAGTCTAATATCAATTTCGTGACATTTATTTCTACCGCTGGTTAAATCTTCTCTACAAAAACTTAGGAAAACATAATTCATCTTACAAAACTCATAGTTGCTCTCAAAACGGTCTACCGTTAAAGTTCCCGTAGCGCTTTGCTATTGAAAGTTACCTTTTCAGAATTATCTCCAGATTGCCACGTGCCATTTAATTCCATGTTTAGTTCAAACAGCATTTTCTGAGCATTCGGGACTATAAGCGATATATAACAGAGAGAAATAAACAATTTTGCATGCATTTAATTCATAACTGAATATCAGAGTTGTATTCTATAATTTTCTTTCACGTCGCAATGGTACAATCACATGACAAATCGATGGTTAAGCGTAAAAGAAGGCTCAAGGTTCACCGAGATGACACCCAAAAGTGATTACAAATTGTGTTAAAGGGTGCGTAAAACATGGTTTTAGTTTGAAAGTAGAATTTGGCTAAGTTAACTTTTATGCCATATCACCATTTTTGCGGTCTAGAATTATTTCAATATTGTCCACAAGTATTGATTGCTATATTAATACAATAGTATTTGAACGTAAGACCATTGATAGTTTATTAATTAACCTCAACCTCAATAATAATGTTATTTCCGTAAATGTAGATTATAAGTATTATGAATTTCTTTATTAGGTCCAAGAAGATTTATAGGATAACCGTTATGATCTTCTTTGATTTAGTTCATTGCATATTAGCATCACAATTATTGTAAACATAACTTTAACCCTGGGCCAGTGCCTTATATTGAATAGTAACTCTTCAATCACCCTAACCTCAATCTTTTGATAAATTTCTATTTTTAGTTAGATGAATTAGAGGTCGGAGAAGATTATGGTTATATTTATGTATTTATTGCTGGTTATTCCTTATCATTATTGTTATTGGTTATTTCACTTGCTATATTTTTTGTATTTAGGTAAGAATGTTATTTTTATGTCGGATACCTTGTAGTGGGTGGGATAAATTCCAAACACACAAACTGGACGAAATGGATGAACTAATAGATTTCATATACTATAATATCAATATATATAGTTATTGGTCTCCTTAAAACACGTACAATTTGTGTACATCTTCAACCTATTATCAAACCTAAAACGTCGAAATGCATATGATTCAAATTGTATTATGTATTTATTAAATCATATGAAAAAGTAGTTTAAAAATAAACACCCTTGAAACAAGATCTGGCCGTCAAAAGAATATTCTTTGTAAGTACCCAACACTTTTCAGTACGCGGGTGTAGTTAAAGAAGAATTAAATACTGATGTCGTTTTAAATATATTGCAATCATTTAAATACCTTACAATCCATAGATGTCATTTTAAATGCATTACAAATGAATCACCGTGTTCAATGATCTCGAGAATAGCACGTTGCATCAAATATGCAGACAAAAACCTATTTCAGAGAGTTCAATTAGCCAAGTAACCAAATGACAAATTGGCGACACTATACTAAGACATATCCTGAACCTGACAACGTTTCCTGTTAAAGCTCTCTATGTCTCCTACTGATCTAAGTTTTATAACATAGAATAATGAAATGGGTCAAGATTAGCCCATTTAATTACCCTCAGTTTACATCTTATACATCCGCATTGTGATGCATTAAGCATGAAATCAACTGTTTTAAATATTCTTCACAGCGCTTGGCTGAACTATTTTCAGAAACTACACATAATATACGTTGATGTTAATATCTATCTCGTGTTTAATTAACCAAACTTACCACCCTGATTCCAACTAACAGAATCGGACACGAAATCAACTCATATACTTTATATCGAAAAGTGTCAGTGAACTTTAACATTCAAAATGTTACTTTAGCTTACTTTTGGAAGATATTTTTTAGAACGGGTTCTTACTTTCCTTGTGTGTCCCTCAAAGAGTTTGTGTTTTCTTAATCATAAACGCGTAATCCCAGCAGAAATGTTCGCTACTGCATTTATCCGGTTTGGCCTGAATTCCATGGCCGAGCCAAAGGGGGGTTGGGAGGGGATGTAAACCTGTCTACGACACTGATGAATTCCCTTCACGGAGTTCACTATTCTAGCTTTTATCTCCTACCATACTATGGAACTCGATTTCCCTAAATATGTCACGATAAAGACGCTTCATTTCGGTAAAATAATACAAAAGAAATAATGGACAGCGTTTTTTTTTCTCTTCAAAAATCGAGTCTAAATTGTCCTTCAAGCCACACTTATCAAGCATGCACCCAATCATGTCGTGGATAATAACTATAGCAAAGAAATGCAGACAAGGAATGAACGTGGATGTACAATGGAAAATCTCCTTATAGCCTCTGTATTGATTTACGATGAGACATATAACAAGTTTTCAAACATTTAAATCCGCCAGTAATTGGAACTTACCGTTTTCTTTTACTTTACAGAGAAATAAGGAATCGGGGAAATAAATCACATTATGTCATGAAAGGGGTGTTTATGGTCTTAGAATTACACTGGACGAACATGCAATTGTTGTAAGAGGATTAGATCTAACCTGTATCAACGCAGTTCGTGTTTTCAAGATTCCAATTTTCGGTCTAGATTTAAGACGCGTTGTAAAAATAATACAGATGTCAGTAGAATGTAAAATTTCTATTTGTTCTCTTTGTCTTTATCGTCACTATTATTGTGAAATGTGTAGTATTATTTTAGGAGGCAGCTATGACTGTTTCGTTTCATGTTGTTTTTTATTGATTATTTAACGAGAGTTATTCGATCCAGTGTTAGTATAAATTTATGTGAAACATGTAAAAAAAACATCTAAAACTGTCAATGCAATTTTAAATGCAAGTTAGTTTTTAACTATGGGTGACAAGTGAGATTACTTACAAAAAAAACCCACAAAATACCCGAATTGGAATTTTAATCTTTAAACATTTAACCAAGTATTAAACAACATATTTTGGTTCCGAATATGTCGAAATAAATAAGCCTTGTTACAGTCTTATAAAATGATGACAGTTCAATTTTATTTCGTTTATCCTGACGCGTTCTTATTAAAGTTGACATAAACGGTCTAGAGAATTTCTTTTAGATGGCCGAGAAGCTCCTTATATTCAAGGGCATATTTATCTTCACTCCATTTAAATCATGCATCACTTTTTGACAGGAAATGACGTTAAAAGATAACGAAATAACGAGAAGGCGGACATAAGTTTTCTCAAATGTTTCTATAGTCGCCATGAAAAATAACATTGCTTTTGAATTTGAAGAAGGTATTTTCGTGGATTCCATTACCGAACACGCAACTATATATGATAGATAATGTTTCTACATGGGCGCCAACCAGACTTTGTCAAAGTAGTATCTGTATCCTAAGTTGAGAATGATTTGATTCTTAAAATGATCATGACAGTATTATTGTGTCGCTTGCGACTAAAACGTGACAAAGCCGTATATAGTAAACTTTAAGATTTACGAGAGAAGCGAATAACAGCAAGTTATTTTCATACCCATCGATCTCGCACACTGCACAATACCAAATGGTCTAACACGAAGTTCTACAAGAAAATATGATGAAGGCTACAAATGAAATACCTCTGGTTGTTTTATTATCTAAAAAATTTATCAGATGTCACATTATTCATGAACAGGTAAAATGGTTATAAGTGATGTGCTTGAGTATTTTTTTTAACTTAAAGCTAACGTTAAGATAACGTGTTTGGTGGGAATTGGCTCTTCACTAAAATGACATATCATAGAGTTTCATTAACGTACACGCGATGAAACAATACAATATCACTTTCCGATTGCCGCCTTCACGATTAAATTAAGGAAGATATTGATGTACATTGTGTGTATATGTCGTTCCTTTTGATAGTTCATCATAAATATGAGTCATTATAAAATGCCGTAGTAATTTTTTTAATATCACATTTTTCATTTCAGACAGTTAAGATGTGAAAGAATTACAATCCATAAAAATTTATTCTTTTCCTATTTATTTACTGGTTTAACATGGATCCTTTACTATTCATTGGTAATATTAAACGGCCATGTTATATTACAAAATCCGGTGAGTTTTCATAGCGAAGGGAAAAAATATGTGCTCCATGCGATTCTAGTGCTCTTGATGCAGGTGTTGTTAATGGTTCAGTACGTTTGTTCAATCCTTTAAGGGTTTTGGAAGCAGCCCGTTCGGCCACTAGCCTTAGGGTTTAAGATGCAATCAATGAAATTTTAAAAAAGTCCGAGGAGTGAAATAGGGGTGAATAAAAAAAACCGGAGGTGAATGGTCAGAAAAGGGGTGAATTAATATGAATAATATGTTGATTCTGATTTCTCGAGTGTTGTGAGAAATCTAAGCACATCATGTGGAAGTTTCTTCAGAAGTGGAAAGCTCGAAGAATTGATTATTGCGTCAGTAGGGCCATTTCGCTATACTGGATAGTGGTTTTAATTGTTCTATCTGTAGAATGAAAGTGAATACCTTTGATTCTGACAAGTTTTGAGTGTTGAGACGATCTCGGTTTCTGTAATCCACTCTGCGAGACGTCAACAACTGTGCCCTCATCCAAAAGTAGTTATACCGAGACTCGCTATCTGTGCTCAAAAACTATTATTGTTATTCCCTTCATCATATCTAGAAGAATACGGTTTTAGACTGTGATTTTGTCCAAACAGCGCAGATCTCTGGACATAAGTAGATGTGGAGACCTGAAGCTGACTAGATTGATACCGGACATTAAATCTTGGATTCGTGAACATCAAGCTTAGGGCTCACACTAACCTCATTATGCAAGGGGTTGTGGAGTGAACTGGATGAAAAAGCCTGAGAAGTACTGATCTAGCCATAATCACTTACGTCGTTCGAGGAGCATAAATTGTTGTTATATTTCAGATCTGGTGCCAGGCTCTACATGTTTTAGCTCAGTATTTTACTGTATGTAACTTTGCCTGGATGTTCTGTGAAGGGGTGTATTTACACACTATCATGGTACAAGCTTATAGATCAGGAAAAACTTTACTCATCTGCTGTATAGTGTTTGGTTGGAGTAAGTAGCACATTTTAGCATTGGTACCGACATTGCTTGCTTCTCAATTTGAGTGTTCTAGTAATGCAATTGATACATAAGGTGCAAAACTTAAATCTTGAAAATAAATTGAGACAAATCATGAGGTAATGTAAGTCTGAAATATGTTTCATGCAGCAATTCTTGTTTCTCCCTGTGGCACAGAACGTAGATAAAAGTCGTATGCACTACTCGACAATGAGAATCCTACCACTAATCTGATGTTATAAAAAGGCAAATTGCTTTTAGGATTAGTAAGGTAGGAACATACCTATATAATAACTTTGGCATAAACTTCCTCCCTCAGAACCGTAGAAAAACTCCCTTCGTCTATTCGAGTTTCAGTCTAAGTTACATTACCTGGTACCTTATCTAACTTTGTAGCTTCTTGCGTGTTTTACAATATTAAATCCGAAATAGACAAAATTTAGTACTCTTGTTGTAATTACGTTGTTTGTAAATGACCAAGAACATGGAATACTATGTTTTGTTGGTAATGTGAGGAAAGGAATGGTAATTTTTGATAATTTGATATTACTGATCATTAAAAAAAGCAAATTGATTAGATATAATCATTTTGTGTATTTTTTCTCTTTTGTAGGTGTACCTCTATTATTAACTGCTATATATACTGGTGTGAGAGGTTCGCTGGAACTACATTCAACAGAGTAAGTCATTTAGTCTTGTGACTAATATAACATCTCTTACGTTATAAATTTAGCACTGATTCAACTTTATTTATTAAAACCATATTTACATTATTAACGCATGAACATTCAGGGACATTCGAACCATCATGCATCTGATCTTTTTAGTCAGCGTGGGAAACAACAACTTTACTATAAATGATGAAAATAAATCATTACATCGTTGCATAATGGGTAAAACATTTGTCATGTTACAGATTGGCGTATTTGATTAGACCAATCAGTGTCAGGTAAACAGTGTTTGGAAACTTAGGTTCAAAAATACTCTCTAGCAATTAGTCATTATTTTATTTAGCCAATAACATCATAGTTTGGGGATTCTAGGTCGCGTTCAAAACACCAATTAAAGGTAATGTTGGGATTCAATTTATTTGTGATTGGTGAAGATTATTCCCATATTTCTGACAGAAACATTTTTGGACCACGCATATTTTTAATACCACAGAATGAACGTCGTTCACATTTAATTTCGTTGATCCGTTCATTGGATTCACTTACCTGCATTACGACAGTCTACTAGGGATTCTATTGATAATCGTTTGAGCTGTCTATCCTCGAGCTCACTCGTTTGATAAGTTATAGCACTGAATTGAACAACCACTCAAGAAGAATTGCCATGATCATTACAAGAATGAAGAAAATCGAGTTACACACTCACGGATCCAGTTTCACTGCCATGTCATTCAACCCGAACCCGAACAGATCCGAAGATTTCTAAAACACCAGAATCAAACCATCAAATTGATCATGGTCCTACAAGATCTTGATCAATGATATATCCTGATGGAAATCCATGGGATACCGATATTCTAAATGATTATCGTAGAATATACCAGTATTTCCGCTGCTCTATTTAATGTCATCCTGGCTGATGGGGCCATGAAGCATTAAGCTACTAAATATTTCTTTTTGTATATTTCCAGTTGTTGGATATTTGCTGATAAATATCAATGGATTTTATTTGGACCAGTTGTTGCTTCAGTTGCTGTAAGTTTACTATAGTCCAATTTGATATTTAAAGAATAGGTATTCATCTTTACCAATGTGGAATCCTAGTTACCCTACGAACAGTAGCTTGGGCATATATTTTATTTAATTTTCGTCTATCATGAAGAATTCCTTTGTATATATTATATTAAAATAAATATCTCTGTTGGTTTCCCTGGATATTTTAGTTTGTTTTACGGTGAACGAGACTTACTAGGGATACCGTAACATATTTAGGGATGCGAGAAATTTTGTATAATAAATTATATTATAGGTATTATATTAAGATGTATAGATAGCATCTAATGAAGTATGATCTTTGTCCATTCTTCTAGATTTTATCAGACAGAGGTTTTTAAGGCAAGTCTCCATATTCTGAGGTGTTACAGGAGATAATAGTGTCTCCACTAATCTCCATTATCAAGTTACAAATATTGAAATAATGATTATGAATTTGAAATGATTTCATTTTCTGGAGCATTCACAAAGTCTTGCCTCTGGTTATATGTCAAATTAACATAGGACTGTGTTATATTTTTAACATACTTTTGTAGATAAATATTTGTTTATTGATCAACATTATAAGGTTACTGGTAACTAAACTGAGACAAATACCAGAAGCTTCACAAAGCAAGTACGTAATCTTAGAAATGTTATTATTTTTTTATTATAACATATAATGCTGGAGGATAATAACACTACGATGATATATTATAACTTGATCTCGTGGTTACATGCCATTTCGTTTACAAATAACTTTGATCTTGCTCTACAAATAGCTCCCTCATATTAAAAAAAGAATCGTACTGTTAGAAATTTCAGAAACATCATCCAATCCACACCAACAAAGGGTACATGAAAAACGATTTTGTAGTCGTATGATAATAGAAAATCCAATAGGCAGATAGGAGAGGAGGGGGCACTATAGCTTTAAGCCTGTTTCCGAATCCTATTATGTAAATAAATATTGTTTATACAAAATATAAACAAATACTCTCATAAGAAACTTTATTTCTAAATTTTGTTTCCTTGATATAATTCCATTAATTCTTTTAAGCATTACCTGTACTCGAATTGTTGTGTTTTAGGAAAGCAGCGAGGGCAACTCTGATCTTGGTACCATTATTTGGTTTACAGTATTTGATAATGCCAGTCAAACCAGGAAAAGATTCACCTTTTTATGATTTTTACCATTATTTCATTGCTTTATTAACATCGTTACAGGTTGGTAGACAATTTATATGCATTGAAATAAAGTCTTATAATATGTCTCTTCAAACTTCATCTAGGTATACAGTATTTAGTATGTGGCCTATGGGAATTAGTTGAAATTTCAAGCAGATTTTGAACTATCTGTTTATGTTTTCAGAATTATGATCCTACTTCCGGTTTTTCACCAACCGTGTGCGTTAAGACTGTTTTTTTCTGGATTTTAGATCTGAAACTTGCGCAGAAAATGGGCTCTTTAAGATAGTTGTCGATTTTAAATGTTGACCAATGGAAGCAGAATTGGGACACAATACAAAAAATGTTTCTTTAAACCAGATATTATCGTTATAATGCAAAAATTAGGTTCATGTTTTATTCTATTCAAAAGGATTAAGGTTTCATTTCTTTAATCTTGTAACGACTGACTGGTGAGTACATCAAACCCTGTAATCCTCATATTAAATTTTTGATTTACATCAAATGAAATGTTTGACATATTTTGATTATCCACATTTACTTTTTTAAAAAACTTCTCAGCTAGCTGACAGGATAGATTGAGATACAAAGTCATTGTTTTTATCTACATTGGTTCATAGTTGTGCGTCATTGATTTATTGGGTTGACGAGTTACATTTGACGACAAATTCCCATTTAATGTAACGAATTATTATCTTGCAACGACTGACTACTGTACTTTGTAACGTATCTTGAAACGACTGCTCACTGTAAAGTGTCTATTAGCTTTTGTAACGTAACTTGGAACAACTGCTTACTGTATCTTGTAACGACTGACTGGTGTATCTTGTAACCTATATTGAAACAACTGCTTACTGTATCTTGTAACGACTGACTGGTGTATCTTGTAACCTATATTGAAACAACTGCTTACTGTATCTTGTAACGACTGACTGGTGTATCTTGTAACCTATATTGAAACAACTGCTTACTGTATCTTTTAACGACTGACTGGTGTATCTTGTAACCTATATTGAAACAACTGCTTACTGTATCTTTTAACGACTGACTGGTGTATCTTGTAACCTATATTGAAAAACTGCTTACTGTATTTTTTAACGACTGACTGGTGTATCTTGTAACCTATATTGAAACAACTGCTTACTGTATCTTTTAACGACTGACTGGTGTATCTTGTAACCTATATTGAAACAACTGCTTACTGTATCTCTTAACGACTGACTGGTGTATCTTGTAACCTATATTGAAACAACGACTTACTGTATCTCTTAGCGACTGACTGGTGTATCTTGTAACCTATATTGAAACAACTGCTTACTGTATCTCTTAACGACTGACTGGTGTATCTTGTAACCTATATTGAAACAACGACTTACTGTATCTCTTAACGACTGACTGGTGTATCTTGTAACCTATATTGAAACAACTGCTTACTGTATCTTTTAACGACTGACTGGTGTATCTTGTAACCTATATTGAAACAACTGGTTAGTGTATCCTATGGCGACTGTCCACTGTATCTCGTAACGCATAAAACCTCTACCTCTTGTATCTCGTAACGTATCTTGAAACAACTGCTTCTTGTATCTTGCTGGCACTGTCTACTATATTTCGTATCGTATATTGAAACATCTGCCTTTTGTATCTTGAGACGTATCTTGGAACAACTGACTGCTGTATCTCGTAACGTAACTTGAAACATTTACTGTATCTTGAAACGACTGACTACTGTATCTAGTAACGTATCTTGATACGACTAACTACTGTATCTCGTAACATATCTTGATAGGACTGGCTACTGTATCTCGTAACGTATCTTGAAACGACTGTTTTTTGTGACGCATCTTTATTCGACTGACTATTGCGCTATAACGTATCTTGAAACGACTGCGTTAGCCAGTCTTGTGTAACATGTCTTCCAAATTAAAACAGGATAGAAAATGATATCAATGTTCATCTCCATTCATTCACTGGTTTAAATATCGTCTACATAAAAACTGTTTGATATCTGCTAGAACATTCCCGGCGATTTGTTAATTCACCCGTCAACAGTTTGTGACTGTTATATTTCCAAATAATGACAATTTAAGGCTTTTATAATGACATGGGAATAAGACAATCGGTTTGAAATCTTGTTTAATACCAGATTGAAATAGTTTCCTATAAAATGTCAAGTCTCCATTGGGATTTTTTTTCTTTAATTGTCTCATTTTATGTCGTTGTTAAAAGAAAATGTTTCAATGACCAACTATATGAGCCACTTACAGTTTAAAATGTATGGTACAGTGATGTTTTCTAGACATTAAACGGACATTCCTATTCTTTTAAAAGACTTAATTAGTGCAAGCACAAACTGATATTAGGTTTCTGAAATCATTTTAATGACATCTTTAAATATTATGGGTCGCATGTCAGTGTAGACCGGGCATTGAAACAGAAGACGGATCATGTTGCATATGAGGTACGGGATACATGTTGGTTTCTGTGGAATGCACAGTTTTATTCGATTGACATATCTGGACTATTGCTCTTAAAGTCGTAACTAAAGACACATAAAGAATATAAGAATCTCTTGGACAAGTCAAATTTTCTGTGTAATACTCTTTATTCGTGATTCGTTTTAAATTTCGAGAACTTACAGCATTCCAAAAGTCTAACTATGAATGACATTTATACCATATATAACGATTTAAGCAATATTGCAATTGGTAAAAAATATAACCTAATTGAGTTCCCTTCGGCTAGTCTGCAACATATTTTTATTTGCGATTAAACCAAGGTATATGACCATTTGGGAATTCCAATATGTCAATTTAAGCGGCTTTGTGCATGAATTTTAAGATTGAACTAGAAAACAATCCATCACTGTATGTCCAAATACACCCGAGGTAGATATTACGTACGCTGATAAACCACTTTTTAATACAGTTTCCAAGTTTATTAAGTAAAAAATGAAAAAAAAATGACTGAAAATATATAAAAATTAACTGTAATTAATGTATGGAATCTCCCGCTAGGTTGTGTAGTTAACATAGTGATTATATACAGTATCTTCTCCTGACGGTAAAGCGATTCTCATGTATTAATGTGAGTAATGTATCAATGGGTAGGATGGTTCTCTCGTGTATCAATAAGAGTGATGATTCTCATGTATGGGAGTAATCATTCTTTGGTTTCTCTCATGTGTCAATGGATAGAATAGTTCTTTCGTGTGTTAATGGATAGAATGGTTCTATCGTGTGTCACGTCGTAGAATGGTTCTATCGTGTGTCAAGTGGTAGAATGGTTCACTCATGTGTCAATGGGTAGAGTGGTTATCTCGTGTGTCAATACTGGTGGCTCTTTTTGTATTACAGTGGAGTAGGCAGGGTGATTCCCTGGTTTTTCGATAGGATGGCCGATTCTATCATATGTCAATGGGTAAGACGATTCTTTCGTTTGACAATGGGTAGTTTGATCCCCTCTTTTATCAATTGGTAGGATGACACTCTTCTGTGCCAATTGGTGTGATAATGGGTAAGATGTCCCTCTAGTGTAGCAATTAGTAGGATGCTTATCTTGTTTCAATGTGTATGATAGGTCTCTCGTCTGCCGTATTCTGTATACATCGTAAATCAGTTATATAGAATCCCAGAAAAGGGTAAAAACAAAAATATCATTTGGATTATTCCTGCATTTAAAATTTTGTTTTCTATATTTGTAGGGTGCATTGGTATCTATTATTTATTGTTTCTGTAATGGCGAGGTATGGATAACGTTTATTTCCACATTTCGTTAATGTTGGCAGTAGAAACCGTTTTGATTAAATGTTGAATAAAAGAATTTTCGCTGGAGTTTTACCTTAAGCAAAAATATAAAGGCAATGAACTAGTGTATAAAAATACCCAAAATGTGTGTTTGTGGTTCAAGGTGTAGTAAAGTATGTTTGCTAAAGAAAGCACTATTTTCAAGTCAAAGTCCAGACTTGAACATTTAAATAGATGTTCCTCCAAGATTTTCATATTGCTAGTCGTCCCACCGATAATGCTATTGGATTAATGTGCAGTTTACCACCTGTTCAGTTTTATCTCAAGTGAACCTTTGTTTGTCTTGCTTGCAGGTACTAGCAGTGATACGAAGGAAATGGCACCAACATCGACTTATGACAGGTCACATTGGCAAGAACTGTACCACTATGACCTATACTGAAGCTTATTCCACAGTTCAAACCTCTACCAGAGATCTGTCAACTAGCACCAAATCTAAAGTCGCATCAGACATGCTCAATAAAACAATTGTAAGTATATGATATATTAATATTGACTGAGCATGGTTCAAATTTCCTATCATCTAAAATATAAAGGTTGCAAAATAAAATGTTGTCATTTGAGTTTGCAGAAGTTGCGTTGAAATTTTCGAGCGCTATCGGTTTGCTGAAAACAATACAAGCGAGACGACACGAGTGGAATAGCACTTTCTGAACAAAGGGAAATAACTGGAACTACATGTAAACTGATTTTTCATTACCATGATTTGCCTTGATAGAGTGCAAATAAATAAGTCAATTTCAAGAATGTAATGAAAAAAGAGTATATACCTACTCATCAAATATTTTAATGTTATTATGTGAAAATCGATTTTTCTTTCCCAGGATTCCGTAGAATTGAAACCACTTCAGATTGAAGAGAACATATCATAAGAATGTAACCTGACAAGTATGTTGGTGTAATTTAATATTCAAGGGTACGACAAGGAAAAACGTAATGGTAACCTGTTTGGAAATTACCAGTGAAAGAACTAGCTGCTAGGAATAGTATGGAGTGGCATAGTCCTGAGGTAATAACACCTCTGGCATTTGTTATACTAAAGTATTGACTGCACCGTATCATACCATAACACACTCACTCGCTTTAATTGTTCTTGGTTTGTTGAAAGATGTTTTCATTCAAAGCATTCATTTATATATATTGCAAAATACAAAGCGGTGGATATATTTTCGCCATTTTGAATACCCATACGTGCGTTTGAAAACCCTGAAACAGGATTTGATATTTTGAGCAAATACAAGATTGAGTCATTTATACCAATATCACAAGGGTGTGCAGTTTCTTACATTTATTTGACTGTAGACCTACAGAATCGTTCAAACATGTTTTCATATACTTATAAAAATTATTTTATCGTCTTGTGTGTTTTTGCTATTGTATTGTATTGTTCTAAATCAGATAATATAATTCTGTGAAATTATCGTTGTTACTTTTTTAAAAAAAAAAACTAGAAACGCTTTCGACCATAGAAATATAATGACATCCTACTTTTTCTGCTCCTCACAAGTCACAACGACATGCACTGTTCAAAGAGATAAAAGATTTTCAATGTGTAGAAAGCAAAAAGAGCCCCATACAGGAAGGAGACATGCAGGCACAGGCTCAAAGTTCAAGACATTTGAATTCTATCAGAAGTTCGCTAAATATAGTTCATTTAAAAGCCACATGATACTGATATATTTAACGTGTATCGGGGAAACTTAAAGCATCAATTTGCACCATTCCATTCCATAACGACCGTTATAATTATAAATAAAAAATACTCGATAAAAGAATTAAGGTACATTTAAATAGGAAGAATTTAGTAATTAAAAATTGTTACAATCTAACATCAAACAAAAAATATATATATAATAATCTAACAAACGCTAGGGACACGGTGCTTTAAAAAAAGTTTTAAATTCAGTTAATTTTTTCTCATTAGGAAGAGATATGAATCTGAAGCTTTTATTATAAGTGTTTTGAGTTCTGGTAATATTTGGTCAAATCGTATCGTCACTTATCCTGGGGCGACCTTGATTTTCACAAAATAAACAACAACACGTTTGTACGGGCAAGAGATGCAGCATGCTATTATAAAACATCGATACCGTCATAGCTTTCAAGAATCAAAGCAAACGCAAAAACCCTCGCACTAGCTCTAGCCTGTGTTACCAAGCTACCACCACAGTTGAATTGGAGTATTTCAAACCAGGCGCCGTATATACAGTTTTAAAGATGATACTGATACTTGATATTTAGCTGCTTTCAGAAACATTTCAGAGAATTAATCAATAAGGAGCATTTTGACTGTTTTACCACTCGAGCTTCATGTCTGCTTTAGACCATATATACTTTCCACCTCTCTTGAGGAACATAGCTTCATCAAATCCGCTGTACTGTAATGCTTTATCTACTCCCACATCTAGGATGGATTTCGACGGTATTTTCTTTCCTTGTTGACAATCTAGAAACCGCATCTGTAAAATAGCATACAAGGTCACTGCAACGTTATATCGCCAATTAACTTATTTTAATTTCTATTTCTTTAATAAGACTTTATTAAAAATGTATAAAATAGATACCCCTTAATGCTAAAATCAAGCATACATAAAATATCAATGATTAAGGGGTTATCCAACAATTACGTGTCCAGCAGAGTCTAAAGAGGACGAAACACAAGGACGATACAATAATACATATAAATAAAAATATGAAAACACTAAATACTTTAAAAGAAAGGGGTGAAGGTGGGAGCGTAAATTCTAAATCGGACTGCGCAATTCGATGCTAGCTCACAGCAAGAACTCCAGCCACCAACTAATACTAATGCGAGGTAAACAAAAGTTGGGCGATCTAGCAATACAATACATATCAATAAACAACACAAATTGCTCTGTCCAACAACTCGCCCAAACTTGCACGTGCAATACATCAAGGGATGAACTTGATTGTTTAGTTCATGTCCGCAATTGCTAGTTCGTTCAATGAATTAAATACAAATTATAATTCTACAATTTACAACTTGGGGTTGGTCATATAAATTTCATTTCCAAAGATAAGGGAATGAAAGGCCGTGAGAAATTGGGGAATACCTTGAAGTTGTCCTGAGAGATATGAATTTCAACTTGAATGGAATTATTCATTTTCATGATACCTGCTTTATGATGACAATAGTTCAAAACTTAATCAGGTCTTATAGACAGACAAAACCTTCTCACATAATTAGAAATTTGCTTTTGAAATTTTGAATAAAAGGTTGTGGTTTTACGCTGAATGAAAAGTAGAAACGATCTGATTATGATCAAATTTCCGAATTTCACACTTTACATTCACACATTTTAATTATCATAGTTTGAAAGATGACTCCCATCAAATGAATAAAACTTGATATATTCTTTGTGTATAATATCTAACAAGTCAGAGATCATTTCTGTCTTTTCTTCTGGTTAAGAACATGAATGGAAATACTTACGTATTCGTCTAAGATCAAATACGAATTCTGCATCTGAAAATATAAAATGGCATTATCTAAATTTAGAAAAGTTTGAATTCACCCAGTCATTTTAGACTACGACGTTTGACAATATTTAAACAAGAGAACTGTTTCTTTCTGAACTCATTGTCTGTGTCATTCCCAGGCCAGCAGCTAGAGCCCCCACCCCCACCCCCCAGCCAAGGGCCTGGTTATTCCTTGTAGACAAGATGGTGGACCACAGCCATATAAGCCCACCACGGCATGCGGATGGTAAAAACGAAACATCCGTTTTAAGTTTCATCAAAATCGGTTGAAAACTAAGAGAGTAATAGCATATTCAAGATTCTGAGGCAAGGACAATAACTCTGCTTCTAACAGTCGAAAATAGCTCAAATTCGAACTTGATCTTCGTTTTATGAATATGTATACACATACCTAAAATCTAGTCTTTAGAGCGTTAACAAGTAAATGTTGACGGACGGATAGGGGTGCCGACAATATACGTCCACATAGAGAGATGTGGGCGTATAAAAATCGAATACATTACCTTGTCGTTGGATTCTGGCACTAAGCAAGCTATATTGGAATGGAGATCCAAAAATTCCTGGAAATCCTCGTCGGAAATCAGGAATCGTTCGGCATCTCGCAGAGCATCATCACCACTATTTTCACCATCAAGTAGTAAACATTGAAACACCTTTAAGAAATAAAGATGAAATTAATAACGAAACATCTAAGCAGTAATAAAAGCCGGAAACAGGTTAAGACATCGTGGTATCGGTGTAAATACATGATTGAAGACAGAGAATACACAAAAAATGAATCAATTCAGCAGGGAACAGGACAAGATATCGATATCGGTGTAATTATGTAAGTACATGACTGTATGTTACAGAGAATATGTAAGTGCATGAATGTACGATAAATCAATTCAGCAGGGAACAGGAGAAGATAGTGTGATATCAGTGTATTTATGTAAGTACATGTATGTTACAGAGAATACACGATGAATCAATTCAGCAGGGAACAGGAGAAGATAGAGTGATATCCGTGTATTTATGTAAGTACATGTATGTTACAGAGAATACACGATGAATCAATTCAGCAGGGAACGGGAGAAGATAGAGTGATATCAGTGTATTTATGTAAGTACATGTATGTTACAGAGAATACACGATGAATCAATTCAGCAGGGAACAGGAGAAGATAGTGTGACATCAGTGTATTTATGTAAGTACATGTATGTTACAGAAAATACACGATGAATCAATTCAGCAGGGAACAGGAGAAGATAGTGTGATATCAGTGTATTTATGTAAGTACATGTATGTTACAGAGAATACACGATGAATCAATTCAGCAGGGAACAGGAGAAGATAGTGTGATATCAGTGTATTTATGTAAGTACATGTATGTTACAGAGAATACACGATGAATCAATTTAGCAGGGAACAGGAGAAGATAGTGTGATATCAGTGTATTTATGTAAGTACATGTATGTTACATAGAATACACGATGAATCAATTCAGCAGGGGACAGGAGAAGATAGTGTGATATCAGTGTATTTATGTAAGTACATGTATGTTACAGAGAATACACGATGAATCAATTCAGCAGGGAACAGGAGAAGATAGTGTGATATCAGTGTAATTATGTAACTACATGTAGGTTACAGAGAATATGCAATGAATCAATTCAGTATCGATATCGGTGTAATTATGTAAGTACATGACTGTATGTTACAGAGAATATGTAAGTGCATGAATGTACGATAAATCAATTCAGCAGGGAACAGGACAGGATAGCGTGATATCAGTGTAATTATGTAAGTACATGTATGTTACAGAGAAATATGCAATGAATCAATTCAGTATGGAACAGGAGAAGATAGTGTGATATCCGTGTAATTCTGTAAGTTCATGTATATACGTGCTTCATAACATACTTAGCCTACCTTCCAACGACAAGGATTTAACTCTTGGATCTGTTTTGTCATATCTTCATCTTTATTAAATCTGTTGACAACAGTGTTTAATTTAAACGCCACCTGGAATATCAATACATATTAGATGTAACATCAATATGGGATGAAAATATCTTACGATAACTTCAAGTGATGTAAGTGTAAGGACGTCAAGTCGGCAAGCTGATAAAGTTACCTATACTCAACACTTTTCAGTATTAATATTGTACATTTGCTTCAACTACCCTCAAACAACGAAAAGGCGATCTAATTGTGTGGCATTATTTAAAGGGATTGTAAAGAGGTTTTTCTAGCCTTTTTATGTGTATCGGGGACACCTTTTTGGGACATGTACATTCCAATTGTTCGTCCTTATTAATGATTCCTAGAGACCACGTCCATTCTCCGATACATAGTATTTAACATAAGTGGTCGGTAGTGGTTACAGGTAGGTGTAAATAAGCATGTTTTTACAATAGAAGAGTGGGACACCACGCGTCAACTACGGAAAAAATAGTACCTGGTATTCAGTACACCATTTTCTTACATTATGTAAACTCTCTAAATGACATTTTCTTCCTTGTTGTCGACCAATCAATTTATTCGTCTCTGGATCGAAACTGTCACATGATACCGCTAGAATATCAAGATAGCTGCCTGCAATAATACAATAAACGTATACATAAGAAATGTTTCGTTTCGCATTTTATCTGTAGCTAACTTCCTTGTGGAGTCGAGTCAGCCGCATATTAGATTATAGAATGTTGAAGAGTCTGCACAATACAGTGTTGACAATGATTTTTGTGCTTGAAATACTTTGTAAGTAGTCGAGAGCTATATGCAGCATAGATTTATGGAAATATCGATGGGGAAGATTTCGAAAAAAGATACAGAAGTATGTGATTTTCTTTAATAAAGGAAGTTTCGGCAACTTTCTTGAACTTTGTTGTTTGTTTTTACGCTCGTAAGGCAGCCAAATAATTAGTCAAGTATATAGCTTTATAGTTACTATCAGGCAACAAGTTTCAGACTAAAGCCAGTTGGAATAAAAAATGTTTCACGTCAATTCTGAGAGGGAGAGGTTGATTTTAGTCTTGCATGTAAATAGTCTTTAGAAGTAATAGAAATGTACGAAAATCACATATATCCTTAAAAAATACTTCAAACTAGGAATTTTACTCACTAATGTCTTTTTCTATACATCACAGAGTATCTTAAATCGACGAGTCGTCATTTTAAAATTCAAACGAAGATAATTCTGAACACACATGAACTTGAAGGCTCAATATCAACGGTGAGCTGTAAGTACTTTTACTCAGCTAAAAAATTCAAGTTTCTGAGACTATATTATGATTGGCCAAAAAATACAGATAAATGGCCTACAGATACATGTTTAAAGGTAAACAGTACCTACCGTATTGTTGGAACCAAGACCGTTTTATCAAACTGCCGTTACTAACAATAGATACACTGGGAAGACACAGGGTCTCTTTACAATATTTAACTAGTTCACCCACAAATCTTCCCTGATCTTCCAGAAATGGTTCCCCTCCAGAAAAGTTGAGTTTTTCCATTCCTGAAAACGGATTTATAAAATTTCGCTATAATCCAATAATTACAGTAAATAAGTAATAATTCATTAAACTAAGTAAAAATTGAAAAAGCGCGTTTCAAAATTATTTAATTTAATGGATATATCACCTCGTATAGAGCACAGGCATCTGTTTCTATCAATAGTCGACTCTCTCTTTAATAGTACTATTAAAGATAGAGTCGACTATTGATAGAAACAGATGCCTTGTGGTATCTGGTAAGTCCAACTGGTGAATATACGCTTATGCTTAGTTGATGCAGGCATATCGTATATCTAAAAAATTTTGTGTTGTTGTATGCAGACGACACGGTTTTATTAGTTGAGTTCGAGTCAGATTTGTAAGAAGCAAGATATATATCTTAGTATCAAATTAACAACAATGGTTCCTTATAAAATCATGTTCAGTGCTTTATACGAAAGCTTCAGCACCTCCTTCAATAAGCTAATTGTATCATTAGCACTATACGGTCATGAAGTATGAGGTTTACGGATTTTATTAATCTAGAAAGACTCCAATTACGATTTTTAGTTAAGTTAAGTGTACCAAACCAAGTGCAATGGCGAACTTGGAGTTTTCCCGTCATCAATTAAAAAAGAATGAGTTTCTGGTTTAAAATGATCAATAACCCAGTGTCTAAACCATGGGCGCAGATCACGGGGATCTGAAAACCTGGACATGATATCCTGTGTATTTCTGAGAGCTATAAAGATACGGTGTCACCAGTTCAACTGAAACGTTCTCATGCCGCTATACTCTGCAATCGAATTCGCACCTTCGGTCCGACCCCCTTTGAATAAATCCTGCGTACGCCACTGGTAGCTGCGTCAGTCTAGAAAATAGAGTGTTCCGTGGTATTATGTTAACGAATTGTGTTAAATTTGTCATTTACCTGCTTTTTTCAGCAATTTTAATCCAAGTTTGGCTTTGTCAATTTGCAAAACAAAAGAAGTTTTCGCCGTGTGAAAACAAAAGCCGCATTTATAATTACATCTTCGAGTAAAATGGTAATTTACACTTAAGGGTTTTGATTGGCGCTCTTTAGACTGGTTCTCGGGCATTTGATTTCTTTCTTCGAATTCCACTTCGACTTTCACTTTCGAATTCTGCTTTCTAACTTGCGTGTTTTCTGCTACATTCTTAGTATTGTCAAAACAATGTGCGTCGTTATATTTTGATCGTTTCGAAATGTCGCAATTAGTCGCCTGATACTGGTTTCTGGTTTTAGACATGATATTGCCATTCTGGTCGTGTTTCTCTATTGACTCCGCCTTCTTTCTACGACATTTCTGGGAAGATGTCTGTTGATAGACAGCAACACATCCTACAATTCCAAAAACCACAATGCCTATTTCCATCCACATTTTTGAGTACACTGTAAAATAAAAAAATGCATAAGGGTTTTATGATAATACGGTGTTAAAATCCGTCTGATTGGCATCAGGTGTTTCAGATGAAAACAAATAGCCTAGTCATGTCCTTCCTTACACTGATTCGATGTCGTTGGTTTTTTCTCGGGAGGGAGAGCCTACAATCGAAAACTGTGTACTGGTACATGTAAGCTTATATGTAACTTGACAGAATAACAAAAATCCTGATTTTTTGCCATTGAACCCACTTGAACGTAGATCAGCTTCTCACTTGTTTTTGAAATGAACAAATCTTAGAACATCACAAAACATAAAGACAATGGATGGCTCCCAGCTCCGTATAACTATGTGACAAAGCACTGACAGTAGACACAACACCCCCAAAAAGATCCTTGACCTTTTAGGAATATCTAGTAAAACAACTTTTAAAAATTTCCTTGACCTTCAAGGCATAAGAAAGAAGGAAAAAAAGGAAAAACTAAGGATCCTTTTTACCAGCTGGTCCTTGGCCAAACCTCTTGTCATTGATCTTTCCCGGATTATCCGTAGGCCTACATTTACAGCTGGGCCGACGGTAAAGACACTCAGAACAATCTAGACAATCAGGTAGGGGAAATACTTGAATATTCATACCGCAATTGCTTTGATTGCTTCGGAAACATATGTTTTTTATAATATAGGCCCCAAAATCGTTTTGTTTGGTCTTACTTCTATTTTATTGGTATTAGACATCTACGCTACACTCACAGTCGTGTGCTCGATGATAGTTATTGGTATTAACTTTAAGTGTACTTATTACTTCATATTATACTCCTAAATACGAAACTATTGCTATTATTTTGATACCGTAGCTACGAGCCTGTGCTAGTCTGTAATATTTTCAACCTCCACTTTGGTCTAGCTTATGAAAATATTACAAAAAGCAACAACCCCCTGTATACTCTACTTACCTTGTAATGTATAGAATTAATATAGGCCTAACAAATAACACAGTCTACGAAATCAATCTTTACGAAGCCTAACTTACTCCCTTCCTCAAGATTAATAATGACAAGAGAACACTAGAATTCATAATAGGCTACGTATCTGGGAATTCTAAGAACCTAATCTATTCTCAGAAAATAATGATGTGTAATTTCCAAATAAAAGTCAGCAGATAAGTGTAGGCTAGATATGAGGCTTATCATAACATACAATTGAAAATTACCAGATCAATATCAATAGCCTATAGATCACTATTCTATTCCTATGTTCTATGGCCTTCTATCATAGGCCTAGATTTGGCCTACACAGAAAATAATGATAATGCTTAATTTAGCTGTAGGCCCTTATAGGACCTTTATTATATTGGATGATTGTTCTTTTCAATTTAGTTATTGAGCTGTGTTATTGTTCTAAGAAATATGTTTGTTGTTTTCTACTTTTATTTTCACTTCAATAGACTCAGACCACTAAAATTTTTTTATGTTAATGACATAAGAGTTATAACTCTATGGTTAATGATTGTACCCGAGCTCATTTTAGCAATCATTTTTCTCCCTCCATTTTTTGGGTTTGCATGCCTATTTTTGACTAATTGTTGGTTTAGATTTGGTCAGGCTTTCATGAGACATTTTATAGGAAAGTTTTCAAAAATGAAAGAAAATGAAGATAGAATTTCGTAATGGAGTTGCGTCCCTTTTAAACATGTCTCCACTTTGTTATGAATTCTATAAAAATCAGTCTCAGTCGTTTATTCGCGCATAGATTAAGGTCAAACCGATTTATTTCAAACAATATTTCATTAGTTTACAACAAAATGTTCAAAGAACATTTTTCTGTCTGTTTCCCGGATAAAACTGTGCATTTTATGAAACTGAACGATGGTGATGCTCAGAGTAATTTAACGGTACAGAATATCCCGATTTCAGAGGCTCTGCCAGAGGTTTCTTGGTCAACAGAGTTTTTGAAAAATGTTAATAAAATTTGCATCATTTTTTCGTCGAAATTTGATATCTTCCATTCAGAACAGCACAGTTACATTCAGTCATGTTTGGATTTGAATGAAATTTTCAGATCAAGCAAAAATAATCCGACATTTTGTTTGGGGTACACTAATGTGCGGCTAGATCAAAAAGATCGTAACGTCTATGGGGGTCGTTACAGTAGAATCTTGTGTGCGTTCTTTAGTAGTGAAGTAGACATTCAAAAACTCAATTTGAACGCTGTTGACTGTCACAATATTGAAATATTCAAACTTAATGTTTATGGTGAAGAGTCAGGTGTAATTTCATTGACTGCAGTTGATTCCTCAAATGTTGAAGCAGGGTCATCATTTTGGAAATTGGATGGAAGTATCAATGCAGCTATTTTGAAAAGTGTGTGTGACAAAGAAGAATTAAGTCCAGTTTATCATGAGGTTGAAACGGCTCTGGATGTATTAAATAAGGTACCGGTATAAGCTTAAGTAGATTGTCTAACACAGTATGTGGTAATCTTTGAGCTGAAGGAACATGACAAAACTAAGGCTTAGATTTATTGATAAATCTTAGTTTCAGTTCATTAAAGAATCAAAATCTGATGTTCAGAATCATCAACAATCAGGAAATATGTACCTCTAAAATAAAGACTGCTGTCACCAAGCTGGGTTTGAATGATATTTTCTCACAGATATTACAAATATTAGGATGCCACAAGCAATGATTTAACAGGAGATTATTAATAATTCCCAAAGGAGTCTAAAATTCAACAGAACAAATGGATGCCAGGTTTTTACTTCTGAAAAGAGATACATTTCTTTAGATTTTGGTGTATAGTTTTCGCAAATTTGAGCAAAAAAAATTCTGACCTTCAAAAAAAAGGGGAATGTTACTTTAAAATCACGAGTCATCATTTTAAGATTCAAACACAGATAATTCTGGACACACATAGATTTTAAGGCTCAAATTTCAACGGTGAGCTGTGAACACTATTACTGTATCTGAGACTAAAGTATGACTAAATTAAATGGCTCACCTGTCCCCTTAAAGAACTATATATTCATATATCTATTGACTAGTTCTGATGTAACAATATTTAGATGACTGTAATAAGATCCAGCAATAGGGCAAAATGACAAAGTTTCACTATCTTTGGATCGGTATTATGAACTAACTGTAATCCATATATCATATGTGTCATTAAATATTTCAGTATAAAAATATCCCTGAAGTAGAGGAAGTTATTAATATTTACAAGAAAGAAAAAGAGAAGACGAAGCAAACTGAAACTCAGAAATTTCCTTTTATTGTTATAGAAGGATTGGATGCGGCAGGTATGGTATAATTTCAAATGATATGACTATGTATGTTGAGGCCTGCAATCATCAAGTTGAAGCGTCCTCACATCTTTGTTGATTTTTAGTTTGAGAATTAGAATCACTCTCCTTTCATCTCTGTTAATGAATTTGAATTGTTATTAAAGAAATATATACCTCAAAATAGTACTGATAGTCTTCGAATGGCTTTGCATTGATGAAAATTTATTTTTCTAAGCTTACATTGGATAGAAACAAATTACGCAACCGAAATTGGCTTCAATTGTTATGACTGAAAAAATTTCTTCTGTAAAAACAAATTTTAAAGAGATATTACTGGCCAAGTATGTAAACATCAACACAAAGTAATTCTTGGATTTTCAATTGCTATTTTCATTATCTGTTTGGCATTACTGTGAATAGATATACATAGTCAGATATTTGGTTATATTACAAGATATGTGGTTGGCTAAAATCCACACATCTCTTCATATCTGGAACATGTATTGAAACTCAAGGGCAATAACTCTGGAAATTATTCAAAGAAGTTTTAAACCAGTAAATTGGTGTAATTTGTAGGAAAATCCACTTTAACAGAAACTCTAGTGAATAAATTAGGAGCTGTTAAATACTGTACACCACCACCAGTTATTCAACATTTACGTAAATATTTTGTCAGTTTACCAGAGATACTGGCTAGAGCTTACTATCAGCTTGGTAATTATATAGTAGCACAAGATATTATAGAAGAATGCCAACAAAGACCAGTTATAATGGACAGGTAGGGCATATATTTTTTCACATATTACAGAATTCTTGTACCTGGAAAGGGCTTAGATACACAAGTGTTGAAATTTACGTGATTCAAGAAAGGTTTCCAGCACCTTTGTATATTAGGAAGACTTATAGTTCTTTTGAAAATTGGTATTAATATTAGTGACATCAGCATCAGGTCATATGGAGGCTATGAGTTGTCCAGAAAACATTAAACCTAATTTAAACACTGTGATTTTCCCAAATTTTCCAAAATAAGAGTTTTTTTTTAAATGTTTATATAATTTATTGATTTGAAAAGCATATTATTATTGTGGTTTTTAACAGATATTGGCATAGTACAGCAGCATATGGTATAGCTAATGAATCCAGTTTTGCAGATTTACCAGAAAAAGGTCATCCCATTTACAACTGGCCATCAACTTTACTCAAACCATCATTAGTATTATTTCTATCAGTTACAGAATCAACTAGACAGCAGCGTATGACAGGTCGAGCTGGAGAGATGACCTTTGAAGAGAGAGCTTTAGATAAGGACTTATTCTTCAGAAAACGGTTAGTAAAGAATCCTATGTAAGTAGTTGATTAACTCAATCACAAAGTGGATTATGTGCTCTGGAAAGGTGAAGAGCCTTGCCTTACAAGTTTCACCCTTCACTATAGTGACCATTACCGTTCCTTTTTTTTTGTAAAGCTGAATTGAATATGTGTAAATTTGATAAAAAATGTTTGTCAGCTATGGTAATGAAATAGCCGAATAAAACATTTTGCTTCAATGTTTTTTGAACCTGGAAGATTTATGAAACGATAAGATGAAGAATAAAAGCATATGATTTTTTTATGGGCCAAATTTTTCCCTTCTGCATTAATCCTAAGATTAATATTATTTAACATATGCTGACTAATAAATGTTAAAACTGTTCCATAGCATTTTGACTGTTAATTTATTAATTGTAGGCTGTATGAATCATATAAAAGAATGAGCAATCCCTGCTGTATAGAGATAGATGCTAATGGTAGTGTAGAAAGTGTACAGGAGAAAGCTATAGCTGTTTTAAAAGAACATAATATTCATTTATAGCTCCTTAATTAAAAAGAGGCAAGGTAACATACGCCCACTATCAGCTGTCAGAAATGATAACAAAGTCTTTAGTGGCTTAATAATGAATTGTCAAATAATCTTAAAAATATATATAAGTCAAGGCAAAACCTGAAACAGTTCATCAGATTATCATCAAATTCAAACATTCATCTAGGTACACACAAGGGAAATAACTGTTCATCTTATTATTACCCATTTCTAACTTGACCAAGATCTCAATAATATATACATACGTACCAAGTTTCATCAAGATTAGATAAAAACTGTAGATTCTATAGTGCCTGTGAGCCAATTTGACGCGTTGTTATGGCAATTACGATGAAACCCTTCATTCAACTGTTACTAAATACAAACCCGACTGAGATCTCATTAATATATACATGCATACCTAGTTTCATGTATGATGGACAAAAACTGTGGCCTCTATCATGCATTCAATCCAGATTTGGGACTATTTTTTTACTTAGTCAAGGGCAATAACTCTGAAAGTGTTCATCCGATTATTACCAATGTTGAACTTGACTGAGATCTCATCAACATATTAGGGAGCCGCAATGGCTTAGTGAGTTAGACGTTTGCTCGCTAACCTGAAGGTCCAGGGTTCAATCCCGGCATAGGTCGAGATAATACCTTTCAACCTGGTTTCCCCCTATCAGTGATGCAGGTAAGAGGGGCTGACATGAAAAAAGCGTCTAGTCGTTCGGATGGGACAATAAACCGAGGCCCCGTGTTCTACAGGCTGTGCACGATAGAGATCCCTCGAGGGTTGGAAATCGAAAAAGAGAAGGCGAATGCCGCTGTCCTGGCAAAATTTCCCTCTTCGCACCCTGCATGGCGTTGCCCGTCTTCATTAGCCCACATGGTGCAGAAGAGTAGGACGTAAAACTCCATTCATTTCATTTTCTCATCAATATATACATGCATACCTAGTTTCATCAAGATCGGATAAAAACTGTAGCCTCTATTGTGCTTTCAGGAAATGTGAAAGCACAGACTGTCTGACAGGTTATTGATTGTTTAAAATTCATAAATTATCAGTCAGAACCATCAAAGAGATATTGACCAAAAAAGAAACCATATCAAGGCCTTAGTCGGCACTAACTGTTGAACAGTCTTAGCACACAGGACCTTGGTTTTTATTCCTACCTGGATTATTATTCCCATGTCAGCCCTTCCAAGCTGGGTCAAGGACACTGATAATTTTGGAAGATATTTATTAATACTTAATATATGAAATATCTCTTAAAATGTTGATAAACAATAACTAAAGCCACAATAGAAACAAAAACAAAATCCTCATATAACAAGAACTTTTAAATATATCAAAATTGAAGACTCTACAAAAAATATTCAGAAATTTGATTGCTGTTTGGGAATACCCATAATTTGAAAAGTAGATTTAAAACTTGTGACTTTACAATGGCTTGGGAAGGACACTGTGTTGGTGAAAAAAAACATAAGTATTCAGGTAGACAAGTAATACAAACTGCCCACACCCTCCTGCTTAGAAAACATTGGGAAAATCTACATAGTACTTAAACCACCTAATTTCAGTATTACATCATTATGTTAAATCTTGAATCAAAGATAAATATTATGCACACAGCACATGTCAATATGATGAATCCTCAATAGGACATTCAGACAATATCAAATGTACATATGTATAAGCAGTAGCAAGCGCACACACAACATTCAAAGCTTGCATACAATAAATTCATTTACATTTATATAGTTTACATAAATTTGCATAAAAAATTAATAAAATTATAGTTAATCTCTTTTATATTATATTTTAATAATTTAGTAAATTTTCAATGACTTTAATAAAAGTTTATATTGCACTGAGTAAATAATGCTTAAAAAATTTATAAATGGCCTTATGATCGCAAAAATCTTACCAGGGATATAAGTATATTTTTTAGCAATTTTTGTCAGCATAATTAATGATAATTAAAGTGGCAGTGTGTACCTAATTGAGGTTATATTTTTTAAATGTTAGTTAAATCATAGTTGGATATAAAGCTAATGGCACACACTATCCCTTTAACACATACTGATGAAACTGAGAATTTATAGCATATTGGCAAATTTTTTTTTTTGCAATTACGAATACTATTACTTCAAGATCATATCTACTACATGGTCCCTATATATCCTGAATGAATCTATGATTTATGTTTCAAATTATATGTCAATAGTTATGATGTACTTATACTCAGTTTTAGAGATCATTTCTGGACTAGTGTTCTAGAGATCAAAGGTTTGACATTTTAACATAACTGACATAATGAATTGGCATGAATTATTCCAACTCTTATATCTTAACTAAATAATAATATTGTGAAATCATTTATTTTAGAGTGTACACAACTTAAACAAAATAACAACATTAACACTGAAAAGAGTTGAGCAATGATATGAACACATAATGTATTTTTAGAGTTAAATAAAAGAAATAAACTTTCGCCTATTTCCTTTAATGCATGTACCATTTGCAACCTTGACTAGCAGAATAGGAGCACAACTGGATTTTCAACATCCGTTTACAACTAGTGGAGTCTGCAACATCCAGACCTTTTGCTACTGACATTTATGGCATCATTTGCTTATAATCTACAACATGTACTGGATCTTGTTTTCAAGCTGAGTGGACGCAATTCAGTGTATTGCAGTTACCACACAGCTGACAGTAGATAGGTTTTGTATGGTTTTAAGAAAATAATTTTTGGCAACTAAACTGATAATGAAATAATGAACATACAATGAATAATGTAACAACATTAAGAGCACCATTGTTTTAACTGTATATTAAATAAATTAATATAAAAACAACTAATAACATAGAGACTTCACTATATTTACAATTTTAATCGGTCAATATCTTTATAATTGGTATTCTAGGTCGAAAATATACTGGGTTCATTAAATATTTTTTCTGGAATAGTACATTGAAATTCCAGTCTAAAACTATAGATGGAACTTTTTCCAAAATACACAAAAGAGAAAATGACAGCTAGATTTCTGTTTTTCAATATGAAAATTGAAAGTGAAACAAGAAATATAAAAGGCCTCTTTTACTTCTGAGTAATTGGAAATCAAAATCATTTGTTTGGTTGATTGGAGAAGCATAACTAAACGTTCCCTACAGATAAGTAGTCATGAATTCATTAAAACTGTAAACTGAAATCTCTATTAAAGTCACTAAATATAAAAAGCATCACTCCACATATAAACCTTACCTCTAATTGATTATCTAAGTGGCACAAATCTTGGATTTCAAACTCCAAGTGTTTTTTGGGGGACTTGTAAATCAGACCTATTATTAATATGGTTTAACTGTTTTTTGTCCAGTTTCCAATCTGGTGCTCTTTTTCTCTATAACTATGTGTTCGAGTCATCTGATAGGACAATCACTACTATCAATTTTAAATTTAGTTTCATTATCAGATAAATATATTTCTGAATTTTTATCTGATTAAGTTAAAAGAAAACTCCCAGATATCTGGACAAAATTCCAATAGAACTATACACCAAAAATGTTTTTGTATACTTTCGGAAAATTGTGAATCTAAAGTAAGTATGAGGTATGATTAATCAAGTTCACAATGATTTAGATTCACTGTTGATTTAGGGTTTATACAAAAGTGATGTACTTTAACAAACAACAATATTATGCTTGTCCTTCAACACAACACCATCAACACATTTAAAATAACCAGAAAACTTTGACAAGAGGGTTAAGACTTCCAATTGATTAAAATTCCATAAATGTTCCAAAGTTTCAAAAATAAATTAGTTCACACCAACATTATAATCACTAACAAGAAAATTTCAGCAACTTTCACTTTCAAATATGGCACGAGCCCTTTCAAGAGCACTGTATCTCTTACTAGCAGTGTCTGGGTAATTACTGTCTTTATTTGAGACTGGAGAGTCTGGACTATGTTTTGAAACACCCAGACTATTTGGTCTTTTGCTTTTTGACTTTCTGCTGGGTTTCTTTGGTGTTTCTTTTGATGAAATTTCTTGTGGGATTTCTTCCATGCTTCGATCTATGCATGGCATGCTTTCATTCTCTTCAGCACATTCTTCTAATGGTTTTGGTGGAGGAAGTCCTCCTGGTGCATTGACAGCAGATGTTAATCTGGGAATCGGACTCCTTTCATATGAACCAGCATCTATTCTTGGCAAACCATCAAGGAGTTTCTGCAATTCTCGGCCTTGACCGTCCTTGATTAACCCTCTTTGCTGTAATTTACCAGCTGGAAGCAGTTTGATCTGGTTTGGACCAGTTCTGATGACAGCACTATATGATGGTGGCGATGTAGACTGTGACCTTGACTGTGACCTTGAGGCTTCGTCTGTGCTAAATCTTTCTGGATCATGCTCACTACCATATCCAGAACTTTTCTCTCCATTTTTGGATGAGTTTGTGCCATTTAATGAAGAATTTTCTCCTGTTTGAGTACTAAGAGGTGTGTCATTGTCTCTATTTAAAGTAGTTTGACCAATGTTAAAAATGTTACGCAAGCTTAATGGGTTCATGGGAGGTGGGATATCTATGGTTGATGGATGAGGGTCATTGTCCTCATCACTTCCTGTAATCTCATTTGGTTTTAATAAATATTGACTAAGATTGCCTAGAAATGGTCGTGCAGTGTCTCTGGTGCTTGTACTGGTCACAGATGTTGGTGAATAGTCAGATGTATAGGTGCTGAGATATGCTCTGTCATTCTCAGTTTCACTGCTTCTGACATCCTCAGATGTGCAAGTGCTGGGTGATATCTGTAATGGCGGTTCATCTGGTGAGGGTGAAAGGTCAATAGTATGCCGATCTATCTGTCGAAGGACATCGTCAAGGTTACGAAGACGTACTACCCTAGATCTAGGAGGTGAGGTGGGTGGTGGAGGGATGCGACTAAATAAAAATGAAGGATTCTGGTCAGATTTGTGTGATCTGTGTTGCAGACGCTTAAATCTTCTTGGTGGTGGAGGAGAAGGTTGAAGTGATGGCATGGCGAAATTATAAGGATGTGGGGGTGGAACCATAAAATCAAAGCTGGATGATTCTGGGAGATTGTCTAAATATTCCATACATTTTTCAGGTTCATATTCCTCCTCGCCCAAAATTTCACGGATTTCTTCCGCCTCCAAATCTTCATCTTCATCATAGATGTATGGACCGACTGAATCATTCTCAGACTTTCCCTCAGAACCAGTTCCTCCATTGGAATCACTACTTCGTCTGTAATCATCAGTGAGTCTGATAAAAGAGTTTTTCAGGATTCCTTTTTCTGGTAAGATGCTATTAGGGTCTGTGATTATAATTGGTGGGGGTGGAAGATCACCTATTTCACTCTCCTCACCACTTGATAATCTTTTCTTCTTCTTCTTATTGAACAGTTTCTCTCCACTACTGAAAAATAGCAGAAGATGTTTACTGATTCTCATGATGAATTCAAAATGAAGAAAAAGGTATGAGATGTTGAAGTAATTGAAAGAAAGACATAGAAACAAGTCAATTTTGTGCAAAGAAAAAAAGTCTGGGCTCAAGCTCAAAAAGATTGAATAGTTACCCTTGAGAAAGAGGTCCAAATGTTATATACTGACTAGAGTCATCTCCCGCTTTCTTATCTTTTGATAACTTTATTGTTGGTGGCTTACGTCTGAAAGTAAATATAAAGCAAAATCTGAGAAAAGGAAATTGCAAACTTTAGTATTCTGACATCAAGCATTTAATCATGAGGTTGTCTATGAGGAATATTTTCTGTACATCTCCAGTCACTGCATTATCAGCCTACATGACAAAACCCTTGAGCAAATTAGAGCCCTTGTGATAACAAATATATCAGTAATATAGTTGCTACTTGGATCAAATCAGATGCAGATCATTTCAATTCTAATGAGAATAACATACTTAAAACCAACATAATCTAGAAACGTACCTATAACAAAAGAGCGTGATACTCATAATTATTATGAGTCCACCAATAACTGATGCTAGTATAATAATCAACCACATAGTACTTAAACCATTTAGATCAGCTGTAACATAAGATCGGGTAAATTACAAATAACTTGTTCATTTCATAACTGAATGTAAAAGCCAATTTCTAACAATTTCTTAAAATAAATGCAAGCTCATCAAAGAGCAAGTGAAAATTAAATATTTTCCTATTTTACATGATAACTTAGCAAATCAAGTCAATACTTGATACTGAATATCTTCTGTCAGATTAATTTCAACAATGAAAGATTTGGATCTGTTTGTCAATGAGATTTAAGGCAACTAACCCAAAACTGGTTTCTGTGTTGGAGGATCAGCATCAGTAGAAGCTTTCTCTTTATTCTGTACAGCATTGAGTAGACCAGATGGTAGTGTTAGTAGGGTGCTAGTGGTTTTACTACTAGTTATGCTAGCAGTTGTGGTCTGGGTACTAGTGACTACAGTTGTAGTCTGAATCACTATAGTACAGTCTACACCACTCCAACCAGGATGACAATAACAGGTATTATCCATTGTACACTCCTGAAATATATTTTTAGCTTTTGTTTTTCCAAACATATATATTTTACATGGATAACAACTTCATTGATCTTGGCACTAAGCTTTCCCCGTATTAATGCATCGTGTTAAAATTATAGTACAAAATAGAAAATCAATAGAATTAGACATCTCGTTTGCATGTCAAAGGACAACATGCAAAACCAGTCCGTACCCATCGTTAATGTCAAATTATGAAAAAAATAGGACCTACCCCATTGCCAGAACAGATGGTAGTATTATCATTAGTTGGACAGAGTAAGGGTGGATATCTGTCAGTTGATACACAATGTGATGACATACACACTTTATTATAACCACATTTAGTACCATCTTGTACCAAACCATTATTAGGCATATCCATCATAGTAGGTCCATGGATACTCCTGAAAAACAATCAATTCTGAAAACCAAACTTTTTTCCTTATTTTTTAAGAATTGGAAGCTAGTCTTAACAGCCATACATACAAAAGTATCAAACAATTAAAGTTAGAAGAAAACATATTTTATATACACAAACATTAACTTACATGCACTCATATTCCTTGCCATTAGAAAATAAAGTGGTTTTAGAGAAACCTTTATCTGGTGCATTAAATGGTTCTTTATTTCCACCATCACACTGTAGTAAACCACATAGAATATCCCTGAAAATATTAAAATAACATCACAATATAATTAACCACATAGAAAATCCCTGAAAATATTAAAATAACATCACGTCATAAACTACATAGCATATCCCTGAAAATATTAAAATAACATCACAATATAATAAACCACATAGAAAATCCCTGAAAATATCAAAATAACATCACAATATAATAAACCACATAGCATATCCCTGAAAATATCTAAATTACATCACAATGTCATAAACCACATAGAATATCCCTGAAAATATCAAAATAACATCACAATATAATAAACCACATAGAAAATCCCTGAAAATATTAAAATAACATCACAATATAATAAACCACATAGCATATCCCTGAAAATATCTAAATTACATCACAATGTCGTAAACCACATAGAATATCCCTGAAAATATCAAAATAACATCACAATATAATAAACCACATAGAAAATCCCTGAAAATATTAAAATAACATCACAATATAATAAACCACATAGAAAATCCCTGAAAATATTAAAATAACATCACAACGTCATAAACTACATAGCATATCCCTGAAAATATCAAAATAACATCACAATATAATAAACAGCATAGAATATCCCTGAAAATATTAAAATAACATCACAATGTCATAAACCACATAGAATATCCCTGAAAATATTAAAATAACATCACAATATAATAAACCACATGGCATATCCCTGAAAATATTAAAATAACATCACTATGTCATAAACTACATAGCATATTCCTGAAAATATTAAAATTTTATCACAATGTCGTAAACCACATAGCATATCCCTGAAAATATTTAAATAACATCAGAATGTCATAAACCACATAACATATCCCAGAAAATATTTAAATAACATCACAATGTCATAAACCACATAGAATATCCTTGAAAATATTTAAATAACATCACAATATAGTGAACCACATGGCATATCCCTAGAAAATATCAAAATAACAGTCAACAGTCATTCTGGTTTATTCAGGACCGAAAATAATGACATTTCAATATTTCAATATAAACTATTATTAACTTACTCAGCAGAACATTTGGCAAAGGTTCCAGTTGTTTTATCTTTTCCACAATGTCCATTAAAATTACCAGTAGGATTAAACCTTTCAAAACACTGTTCTTCACCTCCTTTAGAATCTATAAAGATGACAAGTATGGGTAATAATAAACAATCATTTTTTTCGATTGAAATACAATACAAAAACAATACATTACAGTTTTTCAACAGGATGTAAACAACTAATTTGGAAATATTCCTTGACTGACGCCTTATTTTGACAGAAGATTATTTTACCTGCTCCCCATATTTGTTGACATTGTTGTTGAGTTGAAGGACAAATTCCACCCATACAATATCCTGCATCATTATTACAAGGGTGGCCATCTTGTAAATAGTTATTACTTGGACACTGAAAATATAAATTTTCAAAGGAAATTCTTCTCTAAATAGAAACTGAAAGATTCAATCATTACATCTGTCTACATAGTAGATTTTTTTGAAATAGGCATACCTTGAGCAGGTGAAAATGACCAAATTCATACTACATTGGAGAACTCAACCCTGATCTCATAAGACCACAGAAATATTTATCTGCAGATCCTTAAAACAGTCACTGGTAGAGATTGTTCCTTCAATATTTCTAACAGAAAATATATATGTATTCTTAGAGATAAAGAAGCCTAAATGAAAAAATGTTGATTAGTAAACTTTGACCTACCTCTCCCTGAATTCCATCACAATACTCTGGCACATCACAATCTGATTTTTTATCACGACATTTTACTGTACTTGGCAATACCTGTAAACATTAAACAAGGCCTTTATTAGAAATACCATCAGATTGTTTTAGGCTTAAAAACAGATATTTAGTTACTTTAACAAAAGACTGGTTGTTCTTGGCATTGACCAAAATCAGGCATATATTGGCATTACTTGACTATTACTGGTTATTAAGGCAACATTGACTAGTTCAGAGATGTTGTAAATAGAATAAAGACAATATTAATATATTAACTAAAAAATTGTTTTTAGTGGCATTAATCAATACAAAGATTGAAATAAGTCGCAATTAAAGCCGCTAAAGAACATAGACTTAAAATGAAATGGAGTTTTACACCTCACACCATAATGTAATATTATGATATACTTACAGTACAATTATGACAACATTGTCCAGATCTACACTGAGCCCAAGATTTTAATAAACATGTAGTAGGATCACAACAAGGGTCTTTTTTCATACATTCCTAAAAAAAAACAGAAAAATATTGAACAATTACCATACAACATCACAGCATTATCAGAAATTATAATATACTAAATTTTAGTGTTGTTAACTTCATATCACTTAATAAGTGGCAAGCTTGAGAACTGCTTGGTGGAAAAAGAAAATTATTCTGCCATAAAAGCCATTTCAAAATACGGCAAATAATTATCAAAGGGAGAATAATTCAACCCAAAACCAAAAAGAGCTATTCCATCTATTTTATAGTAAGACTGCTACTATCAAAGATATTTCTCTTCCTCCTTTTCAATGTGTCATTTTATGTTTTCATCGTTAATCACCACATCATCTTACCTCTTCAGATCCACAATCACATTCTTCTCCTCTCTCTACTATTCTATTACCACAGGTCTGGGGGAAATTTATCTACAAATATATACAAACAAACATTAAAAATATTTTATACTAAACAAACAACACTACTACTATAAACAGGGTCATATTTACTGCTCTTTATTGGGAATTATTGCAATGAGGGAAATTTGGTCAAGGTACTAGCATTAACCTACTCCTGCAATTTTTATTGACAGAATGGCTGGACATAAGTGAATTAAGATTTGATATTTCTGTATCTATATCAGAATTACCTGTTGTCTTGATTTGTCTGTATTTAAACAGGATGTGATGTTCATATTTAATGTTATGTTCAAATCAGCTTTACTACATGATGAAAATTGTCTAGAATGGTAACCTCCAGCGCCCCTAAAAATAATATCAAAATATAAAGTAACTGAAAATATATCAAAATATAAAATAATTTAAAACATATCAAAATATAAAATACTTGAAAATATATCAAAATATAAAGTTACTGAAAATATATCAAAATATAAAATAACTGAAAACATATCAAAATATAAAATAATTGAAAACATATCAAAATATAAAATAACTGAAAACATATCAAAATATAAAATAACTGAAAACATATCAAAACATAAAATAACTGAAAATATATCAAAATATAAAATACTTGAAAATATATCAAAATATAAAATACTGATAATATATCAAAATATAAAATAACTGTTAATATATCAAAATATTTAAAATTCAGTAACAGTAACTTTGTTTTCAAAATATTGATATTTGAAGAAGAAAAAATATATAGAGGAAAGAAAGAGATGAATACTTACAGTACTTTAGTCGACATTATACAACCAAAATCATCTTGACATTCACAACCATCTACAATAATATTACAAAACATCTTATTAACACTTTATGACAAGTACATACCAAGGACAATTCTACATTGTCATAAATGTTGAGTGGTTTATCACATAATTTCAACCATATCTGGAACCTGTGTTTGCAACCAGATGCAAAAATATAGAATCAACCTTATTTCCTTTAGAGCAAAATTCAATTGTTGCATTATATGAAGATCTGGATTATATAGACTGTTTTTTGTCAGCAAGAATCAGAAAAAACTATTTTCCTACAAAATGCCAAAAATCATTTCATAATGCATTCTCATAACTGGTTTTATGAGAAAGAACGAGGTAATAAAAATAGAATATTAATGTAAGAAATCAAGAAAGTTTGAAATCCAAGTCCCTATTAAATTCAAAGGTTACATAACTATATTACGAAATATTGGGCACATAAGTTTAAAATATCACATCAAGCTACAAAATATACCTATGACTATACAAAAGCAAAAGCTGGGATATTGGTTGCTATATTCTAGTAAGCTGTTGGTTAACAAAATGGCAAGTCACACAAACTATCTATAAACACTATTGTCTATAGCACACATCTACATATCATTACATAAGACATTAAAATTTGATGGACAGATAGAGGTCATGTATTGGTATAATCTCTACATTTTATACTGATTATGACATTTTTCAAAAAGAAAGATAGCTTGCCAGGCAAGGTAATATACGCCCACTGGCAGCTTTGATTTTGAATAAAAATATTTAGCATTACAGTAACAATCACCAGTATGAAATGTCCAACCTTCTGTCATACACTTCTATTGAACACTTTAAGGCGATACTGAATAATATTGAGTATGAGTTATTGTCCTTGTTCTTGAAAACGTGTTAAATTTTTAGCTCGTGAAAACTCTAGAAGGCAAATATTCAATATTCAACACGTTTTCAAGAACAAGGGCAATAACTTCTACTACATATTTTTCGCTTCTTCTGATTTTCAATAGGGTTCATTCTTGGGTGATTAAGATCACTCATACCAAGTTTTGTCAAAATCCCTCAAGAATTGTGTCTTTACGAGTAAAGTGTTTACGAGTAATTGTGGACGGACCGACAGACATGGGTGAAGGCAAAATACGCCCCCCATTTCATGTGGGCGTATAAAAACATATTTCAAATTCGGTATTTCAATTTTAATCCATAATGTATTTGTTTTCTTGTTATTGATTTGTTACAATTCTCCATCTCAAGTGTTTTTATTTTAAAAAAAATGGGAACAAAAATACATAATAACAAAAATGATCTACCAAATATGGGAAAAGAAGACCAAAACTCTTTAAATAAGAACATTAATCGAACTTAAAATAAACCAGAATATATTTCATACAGGACTGACATTTATAACGTAAAAATTGGTGAATATTGTGTAAATGTGGCTGGCATTTGTATGATAAAAACTGTAAACGTTTATAACGTAAAAATTGGTGAATATCATGTAAATGTGTCCACAGGACTGACATTTATAACAAAAACTGGTGAATATTGTGCAAATATGCTATGTCAACAGGACTTACATTCTGTTATAACATAATAACAGATGAATATCATTAAATGTATGTACATTACTGACACTTCTTGTGGTTTTTATATCATAAAATTCATGATGAATATTATGTAAGTTTGACAACAGAACTGACATTAATGAAAAAAAACTTGTGAATTTTGTGAAGTGTGTCAACAGGACTGTCATTTCAAAAAAAAACTGGATATGAAGATTTTGATGCTTGATGCTTTAATCAGTACTGTCATGAAATGCAAATGAAATACATTTCTTTCAGTGCTATATAGTATAGTGAATTTGGGGCTGAGTTGATAAATTATTGTCTCGATTATGACACCATTATTATTTGAATACAAATTGGAATCATGACACAAATTGTGACTTTGTAAAATACCATTAGAAACAATTCAGCAAGAATAGTGTACCTATGTGTGAACTGTTTCATACAAGTATATTTACATTTGGCATAGTCATTTTTGACAATATTATCACCCAACCCTACTAGTGAATATAAAGTGAATAACTAACAACAATAAAAACAGTGTAAACAAATATTATTAATATGTCTACCTTGATAATATAGTCTTCTCCAGTTAGCTATTAGTAATAGAGAGATTAGTCTGATTAGTTATATTAGTTTGCAAACTAATGACTACTGGTAGGCCTGTTATCACATTTAATAGTAGGGTATAGTGTATTTAAAGGATTGTGAAGAGTCATTCTATCTCTTTTTAGCAAGAATGAATTGATATGATATTTTTGCTAAATTTGAACCAAAATCAGGAGAATAAATTTCCTCTGTTTTAAACTTTGACTCTTCAAAACTACCACCTATAATACTGGTGTCCAGTCAACTCTGTCTGTCAATAATATCAACTACAATACTTACTATCTTCATCATGTTCTATACCCAGATTATGACCAATCATGTGACTCAATATGGTTGCTGTTTGCTGTGGTTGAAATGGTTTTGGACTCTGAAAATCATACAGTACAAAAATATCATTAAAAAGGTTTTTATATGGCTATGTTACTTTGATAAGCACAAAGGTTTGCTTAATTTCTGTAGAATAAGCCATCTCTTATTTTAGATTTAAGATAAATTAAGCATTAAAGTTTCAAATGACAGAATTTGTGATAGGTAGTTGCATAGCAAGTTATTTCATATATTTAAATATAAATCAGTCCTAAAATTCCTTTTTCCAAAACTTATGATGCAACATATTATAAACCTGTGTTTAAAGTATGATCTGGAACATCAAAAAATCAAGGGTTACATACCAGAGCAACACCAATAGCTCTTTCAGAACAGAGTGAATCAGGGATAGCTAAACCTACAGAATTATCTTCCAAAGTCTTGCCACTGTAATAGATAAATAATCTAATAATAGTCTTACTTAATCAAAGTTATTCAACAAAATGACTCGACTCTTACAAAAAACTTTCTAAATTCTACGTAATTGATTGCTTGGAATACAACTTGTATTAACAATTATATGATGAGCTTTATCAATCAAAGTAAGAAAAATGTATTTTATAATTTCATTTAATAATTTGGACATACTTACGTTAGAAAATATGCTAGATCAAAATCTATTCCTTGTAAATTTTTCTTTTTATAATTTAAAAATCTATTAAGATTTTCTCGCAGTTTATTTGATACAGGAAACTGGTCTTCAATGTTCCAATATTCTAAATAAGTTAGAGAGAACTGGATGATCAAGTCTTTATAGTACTGAAAAAAATAATAAAATTTCATATGAACACTATAGGACATTTGGACCCTTAAAAATAGAACATAAGAAATAGATATCTAAATAAGATGTTATTTTTTAGTGAACACATAAACAAACACTGATTTGGATAGCCCCTTACTCCTTTGCAACTTTCAGTTAAAAAATCATACAATATTTTCTAGAGACAATAAAGAGGCTGCCCAATTTAATGATATTCCTGAAGACAATGGTCTGGTAAAGATATATATAGCCTGCATGTAGAAATACTTACTAAATCTAAAATATTAACAATTTCTATAGCATATCTCGTCATTTCTGTATGAGTATAGTTTAATCCCAGATACTGAAAAAATAATTAGATTTCAAATTGCTGGATACACCTTGTATTGCATGAGCTAAATTAGGTAAAAGAGGCTCAGGGTGTATTCAAAATAGAAATTAGTTGAAAAAAAAGATACTTCTGGAGTTTGGTCGTCAATTCAAAAGTCAAGCACTTGCTTCATTTAACTCCATTATGCTTATGTCTTGTCACATGACTTCATGTTCATTTAAGATATTCATGAACATTATGAACAATGAACATGACACATTAAAATTACAAGAAGTAATTCTTGTAAAAATACTTACCACTGATTTATCTAATACTAGAGCTAACTTGATCTTTTGTGGTTCAGATCTATCTGGTACTTCACCCTGTAACTAAATAATCAAATATTCATGTATTTCCTTTCCATTCTATTAAACACATTTACTCAGGCCATGAAAGATATATATTTAGTAATATTTTGAGCTCAATTTTGTAACAGAATGATTTTGAATATTCAGACAAAATTAGAGGTGATATAAATCCTAAAGTCATGTTAACACAGCTTGTAATACATGCTTAATGAAGCAAATATTTTGTTCTTTAGAATTTTCATTCGGCCCATATCAAAGGATAAAAGTTGTTTCATAAATAATAATTTCCAAATTTGAAATACCTTAGCTGCTCGATATCGTTTTAATTTTTTGATAAATTCACCAACATGTAGTTCATGAAAAGGCAACCATTGACCAACAGAGTTACCTAAAAAAAAAGCATTCCATAAAATCATGTTCTTGTGAATTCTGTATCAAATACTTATGTTTCTTATGTCCTTTTATCAAAGGACCCTAGGTCTGTATAGAACTCAAGGCTTCCATAATTGACATCAAATAGTTGAAAATAAATATTGATAAGAATGAAAATTGTTGAAACATTGTATAAACATCCAACTTTAACATTCATTTAAACAACTGTAAATTTTCAGTGAATTTATACAGGGCAATACCCCTTTAAGAAAAAGAACTATTTAATTACCACAGCTTTCTTTATTAGAAACAGTAGCTCGATACACCACATGGGGATGTTGCATCTGTAATAAACATAAATAATAAACAACATGAACAAACTACAATCAAAAAAACTTTATTTACCAGAAACTTTTTAACAGATTTCAAGAAACAATCAGATCCAGGAAGTGTTACCAATTTAACCTTGTTCTTTGTTAGTTCTCACAAAAACGTACAATTAAATATTGAAACCATCAAAAATTACATGTTCATATCATGTATATTAATA